TTCTCCATATTTGTTTTTCTCTCTCTCTCTCTGTCTCTGTCTCTGTCTCTCTTTCTCTCTCTCTCTCTCGAAATTATAGCTAACTACCAACTATTGTTTTATCGACATACAAATAATTATATATTTAACATAAATTGTTTCCATTTTTTCTTCTTTTTCTCTTTCTCTTTCTCTCTCTCTCTCTCTCTCGCTTTTTGCATGGCGTGTATCAAATGACTGAACTTTTTATGGAAATTTCGTCTAAGTGGAAACTGATTTATATCCAATCTCAACTCATCTCTGTCAACGTTTTTTCTATTCACATAAGCTTTTCTCTCTCTCTCTTTCTTACACACACACACTCCTTAAAAACAAACGTTTGTAGGTAACCTCCGGTTTAAAACAATGGGGAAAAAGCAGAATTAATTGAAATTTGTTCCCTTCAAAAAAAAATTTAATAAGTAATATAGACCTCTTTTCAGTTCATAAATAATCAACTATAACAAATATCGACTATTCAATTCTACTTCTTTTTTCGATTAAATCATTCTCTATCCCATACCCGTTTATTCAAAGTCAAAAAGAATTTTTCATATTGTGGTCACGCATAAAAGGGGATCCATTAAAATTGAAATGGGATTTTCTACAGCCACGGGTCAATAAAAGTTTTATCATCGCTAAAGCTTACGGTATTTGTGTGCGTTACATATATCACTTTCATGGTTAATGGGTTTTTGTGCATTTCATGCAGGTGATTTCGTTATTACATGGCTTCCATTCACAGTGCGGCAATAAATGAAACACGACGCGAGCGTACGTCAACTTCATTTCGAAACTAACGTAACTAACATTTGATTTTTTGCTGATGCTGTCGCACCGTGCTCTCATTTTATACTCAACCCCGGGAATATATTAATAGAGAAGCTGCGACTGCAAAGCTTCTGAATTTTCCAGTCAATGACAGATAGCTGAGGATATATGTTGAGCATAGAAACTCAGCAAGCTGAGATTGGGATATTTTGACTTTGTGACGTGTCATTCAAACAAATTTATGATGGAGGGGAGTTTGAAACACATTTTCCATTACACTCCATCAACACTCCACCAAAATTCCACATAAATTTGCACGAATAGCAAGTCACGAAATCCAAACGTCCCAATCTCAGCTTGCTGAGTTTCTATGCTCAGCATATATCCTCAGGTATTTGTCATTGACTGGAATGTTCACCAAGTCAAAAGTGGAGTAATTCAATTTTCGAAGAAAAAAAATTGAGTTATTTGGTCATTGATTATGGGCAATTCTAACGTAATACCTTTTAAAAGTAAGAAGCTAGAAAAAAAAAGTTGAGTTTTGAAAATCGTTTCTGCCTAGTGTAAATTTCCTCTAAAAAAACACGCGTAGGAAATCGACTTTTCTCATTCTATCTGGTGTATATGGTCTATCTAATGTGTGTAAGCCCGTTCTCAGAAAAAAGTGTGAACCATAAAATAGGGCTCCCACTTTTGAGTAAGGGTATGAGTAACATTTTCCAAAAAGGGGTAGTTTTATCAAAAAAAAAAATAATCCAGAAGTGAAGCTCTGCAATGTGACTGCTAAAAATTTAGCGATAAATCCATAAATCCATCGTCCAATACAATCACCAAAAGTGCATATTTGCGGGAATGAAGCTAGCGATTTGGTTTAAAGAAAGGCAGATAAATTGGATTGCGTGCTAGTGCTTATATCACTATAATGGATTTCGTCGATGTTAGTATAATTATAAATTATATTAGTGATATTTATAAAATATCATCTTTATTTCAAACGGTGAATGTGACTTAAAACACAGCTAAAGCTCTCAGTCTCCGATCCTCTTAATTACAAAGAGAATTTAAACACCATTGATCAATATGAAAAATTCTTCGAAAAAAAAAGCTTCACATTTCGTAACGTAATCTCTTTCAACGCCATCAAACTCAGTTGTAAAAACGATTTTAATCCCTAAGTCTCCATTCATAAATAAAATCTATGTCCCTATCATGCATGTGACAACCTCTTTCGTCAGAATGGATACTCTCTTTCGTTAGAAACTAAATCATCTTTTTCACCATCGAATCGTTGTGTCAATATGAAAAATAAAGCATGAAAGTGTGGGGGTGGAATGTCATGTCATGTCATTGTCATTGCACCTTGAAGTTTTCTCCATAAAAACCATACACTCTTTGAAAACGCAAGTTGTGCAAATTGAAAAGGGTATCATCTTCTGCCGATGTTTCATCTCATTTTGAACATTTTGTCGTAGAACTGAGAATTTTTCTTTCATCAATATTATTTAATTTTAATTAAGTGGCTAAAATATGTTCGATACGAAGATTACAATTTTACTGCAAAAACTCTGTGTCTTTATACACACAAAACATTTTCTTTTTCCATTATCTCTATTTGATACAAAATATTCAATATGAAGTTGACTTTGAGATGTATATTTACTATTACGAATGACGCAACCAAATATCAGTAGTTTGGAGTGAACATGTAATACAGAAAAGTTGTGCGGAAAAATGCCGATGATGAATGAATGGAAAAGAGATAGCTACAGTGCCGTCTTAGCACTTTCCTGAAGCAAAAATTTCCGGGGCCATAATTTTTTTTCTCAATAGCACAAAATTCAATATTTTGAATATTGCGCCAATTTCGATTGAATTCAAAGAGATGAATTCAGAGGAGTTATTGAACTATGCCGTTTTTCATTTATGTTTTGATTACTGCTCAATACTGCTGGATATGAACGCTCTTATTCATACGAATGTATGTGTGACTCAACATCCAATTCGAATTGACAAACGAAACCTATCTCTATGTTTAATTACATTCGTCTGGAAGAGTCAACCATACTTAGCAATAAAGAATTTCGCTCAAATCGATCGATAAACTGTTTATATTTTGATATGTAAACAATTATACCACTGGGCATTCTATTAAAAATTGAGCCACACTAATTACATCCAAAAAGTAAGACAGAAACAACAAATAAGGCGAAATATATGTATGTATATGACTTTTTTCGTCTTACAGGCGAAATTCTTTGATTACTCATTCTTATTTGACATTCAATCGTTTCTGCTTGGTGGTTGAATGTGAAATTTTGAATAATTTGGATTTCGATGAAATAATTGATGATTTTATTTACGCTAAAAATAGGGCCAAAACCATTTCCACAGCGTCGTCGTCACACGCATCAACTGTTTTGTAGACAGCAAACAAACCACGAAGATTGAAATGAATTCGAGAATTTTTGTATTTTTTGTGTTTTTTTTTCAATTTTCTTTGATAAGATTTTCTCTTAATATTTCAAGGGCCTTTTCAGCAGCTCGGGGCCCCTGAAATCGCGGGGCCCTGAAGCGGCTGCTTCATTCGTTTCCAGGCTAAAACGGCACTGGATAGCTATATAGTATACTGAATAGTAAACTATAGTGAACTATATAGCTATCTCTTTTCATTTGATATTTTTCCGCGCAACTTTTCTGTATAACATTTTCTCTCCAAACTACTCATTTGATCTCAAAGTTTAAAATGTATACAAACATAAATGAAACAAAAAGGCAAAGCCGATTTTCTTCTTCTTTCTGCTTATACAAAACAAATTCTCTGTTTCACAAATCATTTTTTCTCTGACATTTCAATTTGAATAATTGATAAGGACAATGAGGTTTTTTTTCACTTGATATTTGTTTTTCTCCTTGGAATAGTCAATTACTACAAATAGTTGAATAATTTTTCACACGTAAAAGGAACAACATATTGTTGCAACAATTTTAAAAACTAATTAAACTGTTCGATTGCCTTTTTTTGTCGTTCGATCAAATCATTTATTTTTTCTTTCCATTTTATTTGAATGCAAGCATTTTTCTCTTCTCTATTCCCAAATCTCAAAATTCTTCCCTTGAGAAAATTACTTTTCCATAACATTCGCCTAAAAAGTTTGTATTTTTTGTTTTCGTTCTCATTAAAAAAAAAAGAGACAAAGAAACAAATCAATTTAGTCTCTAAATCTGTTTCCAACTAAGTTTGCGCTTCAAACTCAGAAGAAAAACAACACATTGAATAGACGTTCTCTCTGTTGGAATGGGATATGCAATGTGTCTATAATATCTATATTACCATTTTCTTCATTTGAATGACTTGTACCATTCGTAAAAATGAGCAACAGAAACCCGAACCGATTGGTTGAAATCGAAGATGAAATTGATTGGAAAGGAAAGGTAAAAAAAAAACATTTCTGAATCATTTCAACTGCTTTTTTTTCTCTTTTTCATCAAGCTTAAAATCCTTTTTATCGATGCTTAAGCATGTTTCAAATTTGAATTACCAAATATGACAGTAAGATGAATTATTCTTAGTCTTCGTATTCGTGTTTGTTTGTTTTTTGTCATCGACCGAAACGGAGAAAAATCAAGTCATTTTCAATTCAATAGGTCAGTTTGCGATTCAAATATATTTTAAGTGCCAGTTCGGGCTTCTTTTCAAAAGAAAGCTTAAAATTTGCAATAAGAGCACTTTACGAAAATAAGCAAGAGCAAATGGTGTCGAAATCCGATGACATGCAGTATAATCGCGACCTAGAAATGTTTTCATTCAACACCAAAATCTACAAAACAAACAAACCAAAACTTTTCCCGTGTTGATTAATGTAATCAGCAGAACAGAATCGAAGCGATCCATTTTTATTGCTAGAAATGTTGATAGGACAAAAAAAAGGAATCCTTTGCAAGGGATATCACACACATAATACGAAACAACAACAAAATAACAAATGAAATCTTAAAAAAAGGGTTAAACGAAAAAAAATATCCCAAAAAAAACAGGATTTAATGCAATGAACGAGTAAAACCAAAACGAAAAAAAAAATGAAAACACATTAAAATGATACTATCTAAAATAAACGTAAACCTAAAACAAACAAAACCAAAAAAAAACCAAACAAACAAAAAACGCGTTCATCATATTTTTAGCATTTTTTGCTATTATTTGTTGGTTGCAGGATCAGGTGGACCACTGCCTCATGATGTACTATCGTCTGGCTTCCTACAACATTCACATGATCATCCGTTACATCGCAGCAGCAGTAATATTAGTAATCATCATGCAATGTCATATCACAATATGTTCACGCCATCACGCGATCCGGGCACAATGTGGAGATGTCGATCGTGTGGCAAAGAAGTCACAAATCGTTGGCATCATTTTCATTCCCACACCGCACAACGGTCAATGTGTCCATATTGCCCGGCAACATACAGTCGTATCGATACATTGCGCTCACACTTGCGGGCCAAGCATCCAGAGCGATTTTTCAAACACTAGACCGACCAATCGACCGGAGAGTGTATGAGCGATGGCTAGAGAGCGAGAGCGAGATGTGAAAGAACAAAAAAAAAAAATAAATAAGCGAAGTAGCCAGAACACACAGACAGAAACAGACATACAACGGAATTTAATAAAATGAAAGCATGCGTTTTTTTATCCATTCTTTGTAATGTTTGTGTTTCGATATTTTTGTGCAAAACAACAGCTATAAAGAAAGTGAGGAACACCATCAACAGCAGTAACAGCAGCAAAAAACAACAACACAAAAAATCATCTTGTACGTATCGAATTAAAAGTAGGATTTCGTTATGTTTTAAACATTAAGCAAACTGATTTATGGCGAATTGTGAAAATGTCGTAAACACATGACACTGGGTGACGCACACAGAACCGAGTGAGAAAAAAAAATACATCCCAAAATGGAATAAAAAGGAATAGAATTTATACAGCTATGAGATTCGGCGCCCACTATCTTGTACGACGCAGCCGTGCGTTCACATTTCCAAGCGCTTGAACTATTCTCTGTTCATTTTCCACACAACAGACATACATAAACCCTTCCAGAAAATGTGGGGCATACACAGAAAAACAAAAAAAAAATATCGGCCATAAAAAAATATATCTCGTATTCATTTCCACACCAAGTGTAAGCTTTTCCTTTCTTCTTATGTTCATATCTCTTCTATTCCCCTTCCAATCATTGATCTGAAATAGATTTCAGTCGGCCAACGCAAAACTACATAATGTACTAGCCGATTTGGATCATGGTTACACTGCCAAAATGGTATTACAATCTTGAGTATAAAGACGAAAAAACAAAATGGACACAAATTTGGTATTTAGAAGGGTAAATGAGTGTGAAAGCAGGTTTCAATCATATATTATACTATACAAGTTTTTATTGAACGAAAAGGAAAAATTAAAATTAAAATTAAATAGTCAGTGTTTAGTCAAAGATCTTTAACAATGAAACGATGTCAAATGTGTATAGATTTCAAATGTAAATGTTTTGTAATTAAGAATGCGTCCAATTTGCAATAGAATGCAATGAATTTAAGCCAAATACAAATGAATTTAAAAAAAAAACACTAATAAAACGAGTAACAATAGAAGCAGATACAAATCACATAAGAACATTTCGTGGAATCAATTAACTTGCCGAAATATCGCGTTTTTCATTTCGAAACTCTTTGCATGAAGAGTGCAGCATGTCATATTTGGTTTTATTCAAAATTCCACGCAAGACCGCATTGAATTAATGATTTTGTCCATAAACAAAATGATTTAGCTTTTTTCTCTGTTCATCAACCAAATGAATTCACACATGGAAAATGAATTTAAATTGCAGAAAAAGAGGACGAAAAAAAAATGGACAAAAAACTATTTTTGGTTCGAGAAACCATTTTTATTTTCTCTCTCTCTCTATGAAATTTCAACTCAAGTTGTGTGATATTGTTAGCACATGCAATTCGTTTGGCCTCATTGGTTTAAACTTCGTTTTTAAAGATAATTTTAAAATGTCACCTGACCGAGTGTAGTGAAACCAACAAAACATAAGCTATATGCGGTTAGTAGCGCAAAACTTTTTCCATGGACTGCTGTAGATTGAACAAATTTCGAAATCAATTTGTTGTGCATTTTTCCCCCCATATCTGTTCTTCATTGTTAAGTGCTCATTGAGATGTTGCCATCGAAACGTATGTTCAATTGACATCACAATGAAAAAAAAAATTAGCACAACGGTGTTATGAACAGAGAAATAAATGATTCCATAAACGAAATAAAAGCCTATAGATGGAAAAGGAAACCAAACAAACACTAATATACGAATTTAATGGACATGCAAAAGAAAATACGTGTAAAATAAACTCTAGTGCAAAGAACTTTTTTTTTCTATGTTCTGTAACATCAGTTTTTGAAGGGATGAAGAAAAAAAATGGTAAAAAAAAAATATTGTCAACTCATTGCTGTGTTAAAAACAAAAATAAAACAATCTTTTCCCACTTCAACAACTCTAAACACACTCACACACATAAGAAGAAGAAAAATGTAAACATTTATAAATGTGGTAAATGAGGATCCGATCATATTGGATTCTACACAGTGTCTGTCTACCAGACACTTTAGCTATTTTATTTTATTTCATTTTAGTATTGTAATCGTCTTTTTGATGTGCTTCATCATTGAAACACACACACACACACTAATTGAAGAAAAAACAAGAAAAAGAAGAGGAAGAAAAAAAAATTATATTTGAAACATAAGCAGCTTAAAAGTCAATTTATCGAACTTACTCGCTGAATGATCGAGAACTAGGATCTATTCGTTCAATGCACACACACACAGACACAATATGTATTGACAAGAAATATATATTGAAGGAAAAAAAACACACACTCTAATTTCTACTTTAAATGCTTTATAATGCCTTGAAAAGAATTGTGAATACTATTTTATGTGCTTTTGTTATTTTACGGGTGCCATAAGTTTTAAGACGAAAAAAAAGTAAACAACAACCAGTCAAAAAAAAAAATGAAAAAGAAAAAAATTAAGCGAAAACAATATGAAGAGAAAAAAAGAGCATTTTTTTTATTTTGCAAAAATTTCCTTTGCAAACGAGATGACGACGACGACGACGACAACAAAAAGAAGAATTATATATTTTTTCACGATATTTGGAAAATATTTCAATTTGTTTTCAAGTGAATAATATTAGTAGAAAACGTTTGTATCTTTTTTAACCATTTGAACGAAAAAGACGTTGTTTTGTGTTATGTTTAAATTTTAATTTTTGTCAAAATAAATAAAAGAAAGATAAGAAGAAGATGAAATGATGAAATCGAAAACAATAATTCCTTGTAGAGTTGCAACCGGCAAAGTAAATCGCAAATTGTTGTTTGCTAAACCGTTTTATTGTGTATTGTGCATTTAAATTAAAAAAAAAACTATATAATAATCACTGTCGGCAATTCTAGCTGAATCGAATACACAAGTAAAAAAAAAACCAGAATTAATTAATTTTACTCTCTCAACTCTTTTTTTTTTCAATGAATGATAGAAATATTGATATAAAAAAAATGATATGTGATTCATAGGGTTATTAATTCCCAAACTAACAGAGATCGTGATCGTATTGTTAAAAAAAAGTGAAGAAGAAAAAGCGTTAAATAATAAAGAAAATCGAAACTGATTGAACATATTGAGTAGAATTATAATTGTAACACACGCATTAGTCACTGAGAGGTTTTTGTTCGTTGACAAAGCAAGTAGCAAATACGAGGGCCAGCCAGAGGGCCCCTTTACAGCAAATACGAGACTCGGTTAAAGCAAATACGAGGCTCGGGTGAAAATGAAACAAGTTGCAACAAACCATTGACATATTGTTCAAACACGAAAGCGATTTACATTTCTCCGTTAATCGTTCGAAATTGATGTTCAACCGCTCGTTTTAGTTCAACACTTACTCCAATATTTTCTATTTTTTAGCATCATATCCGTTTCTACGACTGGTTTTGCCATGCAACAAACATTTTCAACCATTGCTGGTCGATTTTCTTTGCCTTTTCTTACCTTATGTTTGACGCAGCCGAGCAAATATTGACTTTTTCCACTTCTTTTCCTTGTCTTTCACACTCCTTCACAAACACACAAACACACTTACCAACTCACTGCTCGCTTACCAACTCACAGCCGTGTAGTTTTCCCTAAAACAAACGGTTTGGTTAAGACATACTCGAACAAAGGAAAAATTAATTATGTTAAGTGGCTTGAGGCCACCTGATGTTGATGGGTGAAAAACTTATAAGCCCGAGATAAATGAGATACAGTGTGATTCAGCAGAAGGAGAGAGAAAAAAATTACAGGCATAGATTAAGTTATCAACTTTCCAGAACATTGTAACTATTTATCTCTTGTTGTTGTTTTTCAACGCATCAACTTGTTTCATTTTCAAACGACCCTCGGGGAAAAAGAAACTAGTGTCCGCTATTTGATGTTGTGTTTTTTTTTCGCTTGAAATTGCTACGCTTTGCTAAATGATATGATAAGCATATGTCAACACTAAAATGGGATACGATATGCAGTTGGTCTCTCTCTCTCTGCCCCCGCTCTCTCTCTCTCTCACTCGATACACAGAAGTGAATCGAAAGAAAAGAGAGAAAACTCATTTAGAAGACAAATGTGTACCGCTTTGCAGTATGATATTCAGAAAAAAACACACGCACACTCATTGAAACTGTGGATAACTCGGTCACATTTGATTTCGATTGACTGCAATATTGTCCATCAAGAGCTGTAAACAACTTCGATGCATGATTGAATTTATTTGCGGAAAGTTGTTGTTGTTTTTTTTATGTTGTGTTTTTATTTCCGATAAAAATTACAACAAGTGAAAAGTGTCCACATAAAAAGCTCATATTTGAATATATTTATTAATCGAGTGCGATTTTCACTTCCAAGCATCATCCCACTCAAGGGTTGTCCCAAAAATCAATGGATATTGTTGATGTATAATTTGTTTTTCCCCGATTCCGAATCGGGATTATTGGATATACGAGGAGCTCGTTGCATAACCTATCGAAAATTTTCGTTCATTTGATGACAACTCATATAAATATGATGACAATCCTTTATGGTTCATTCGTTCATTTATTTGACAGTCGAAAACGATGTAAACAACAATAAATTGTGCAAATCTATATCAAGTGGTTTGCACCACTTCAGAAATGTCATTCATTTTAATGGGAAATTAGTGTTCGGTCGGAAAATTTCAAAAGTTGATTGATCTACAGCCCACAATGCATATATCCAATAAAATCGATGGAAATTATGTTGATGCGTGCGTGCGTGCTTGCGTGCATGATTCACTGTGAAATCATTGACCATGCCGAATATGTGCTGCGACTCATATCATTCTCGAATCAAATTCAGTGTAACTAATGCTGTGTGGTTTTTCTTCTGTTTTATTAAGGGGAAAAAAAACAAAGATAATAATGACAACATAATATGTGCGAGGAAAAAAAAAACAGAATACAAAGAAGACGAAAAAAAAAAAATTCTTAATGGCCATTATATTTTTACTCTCTTTTTTTTGTTTGTTTTAGTTTAACTTTCGAATATTCTCATTTTATAAATACTATTGTTTTTGTTTCACAATTAATTAATATATTATTATTTGTATTTTGTTGCTCAAACGTGTATATGTACAGAAACAAAGGAAGAAAAAAAATATGTGAATAATTAATTGTATTGAAAATACTACAATTTAGAATTTAACTCAATTTCTGCAAAGAAACTGACATGAAAAACAAATATTACGGGTGTTTCTTCTTTTTTCTCTTGGAATGCTAAAATTAATTAATTAAATTTAAAAATAAAGTAAAAAAACAACAACACGTCAATAATATTACATATAATAAAGAAAAGAACAAGAATTGTTGACACATTTCTAGCATATTTTAGTTGATGATATCATTAAATTTGTACCAATCAATTTGAATACACTCTTGGACTACATTGACCTCAGTGACTAAAGAAACCAAAATAATCAAGTAAATAAGATTTTAGTTATATACACATACACACACACACACTTTATTTGTATTCACATCACACGAATAAAATATGAACAACAACAACAACAACAACAACCAAGCAGAAAAAACACGTTACTTTTAATGAATTATGACTTACAATTTGCCATATGAAAACAAAAAAATCAGCATGAATATAAACATTGCAACAAAAACCGATAAAAAAAACGAACAAAATCATTGTATTAAATATCGTTAATCGTTAATGATAGATGGTGCAAGAGTACATATTCAGACACAGGACTCAAGAGCCATTGATATCCCAGTTTGAATGGTTCAAACATAGTAAAACAGGTGTGACCATCAACAACAACAAAAAACATCGTGTGAAATTGTATTCGCTTTCAATGGGAAGAAACAAGAAAAAAAAATGAAGAAAAAAAACAAAAACAAAAACGATGATAAAATCAATTTTTGTTAGTTTGCTGGAGAATCACACGAATTCGAGCCATTCATAAAGGTTTCATAATTTTGTAACGCCGGTTTGTGTCAGAGTACACACAATAGAATGGATTTTTTATTTTCATTTTTCAGAACTTTCATAGGGAGAGAGAGAGAGAGAGAGAGAGAGAGAGATCGTAATGATATCAATCGAATTTAAAATGCTAAGCTCTATCCAAACAAACGATCTGTTCCCTATTTCTCTCTGTCTTCGGTAACCGAATACCGAATCGGTATTCAACAACGTGTATTTCACACGTAAAGGCTTTACTATGAAGCTTGAACCATTTATCCGACAAACATTCAACAAGACAATTCAAATGATGCTAATAATTTCCTTTCAACCCGATGTAAAATTCAACAAGAACAACTACACTTGAGAACTGGATGCGTGATTGAAACATTTATTACAATGAGCTTAACATATATGAATGAACGATTGAAAACGAACGACTCACAAATTTATCAGTTCATTTTTTTTTTTTAAACAAATTTTAAATGAATAAGTGTTCCATATGAAATGAAAATAGTTAGTAAATTCTGAAAATACTTTTAAAATTAATGAAAAAAAAAGGATGAGAACAATGTATGAACAAGTTCTATTGAAAAGCACGGTGCACACAGTTTACTTGGATGTTGGATTTTGTGGGTTCGAGCAAAAAGAAAATAGAAAGAGGAAGCGAAGAAAAAAGGATGACGACAGGAAAAGAGAAGAAGGGAAGTTGGTTGATGGAGTTGAGAAGATTGTGAGCTGCGAAATCCATGAAAGTTAACACAGACATTCACTCAATCCATGAATTTCGGAAAACAATACCATTTACCAGGGAAAAAGAGTTCGATCCGCGAGAAAAAAAATATATTTGAAGAAGCCCGAAAGTGCCAAATTCATTAGAAGTTCTTTGGCATACGACTCGCGATTTTGTAAGTATATGCTATGCAAATTATTTAACAGAGCAAGTAGTGTGCACTGTGCGTATAAAGCATTACAAAAATGAATTTCCAGTGAGAAAAAAAAGCATGTCTTTACTAAACAAAGAAGAAAGGAATGATTTTTTGCACGATATAATGTAGTGTTTTATTATTAGTTGTTATTGAATTCCATACAAACACACGAAGAATGAAGAAGAACTACGGTCGAAAGGAAATACAACTTCTTGCCGTAGTCGAAAAGAGGAGAAAAAAAGAATAATAAAAATGTGTAAAAGGTTTCAGAGTGTCATATTCAAATGACACCCAATTATCACACGGAAAATCAAAGTCACAGCCAAATCAATCCACCACAATTTGTTATGTCATCGTATTAGTAATCGTAAAACAAACAAATCAGTTATTACACAGTAGATGCTTGGAAAATATATAAACGCGAACGGGAATTCATCAAATTCCCACTTACACTAAGTGTTTTTTTTTTAGGTTTGGATGTACTATTTTTGAATCTCTTCTCTTTTTCAAATACGGCGTACGTTTAAGTGGCAGTCACATTTCCCAAGAGAGCTACATATTAATTTAGGTTTTGGGTTAATTTTTTTTTTTGGTCTTTTGTGGATGTACGTATACATCAAAATTATCTATTTGTGCAGAACAAACAGTTAGATTCCATTCGTTTTCGCCATTTTCCAGCCGGTTTCATGGTAGCATCCTCTGTCCATCCTTGAGTCAAGATACTTGAGAAAACTTTTTCAATTCAGTTTTTTCACCCAGCCTGTTAGTGTTCTTTTTCATATTAAATAGATTTTAAATTGTGGCTGAGAGCTAATAAATGGGAGAGCTATTCAATGTGCTTTCACTTCAAGAGCACTCCTATGATTGGAGTCGGTCATATCGGTGCACGGTTCAACGCTTTCGGTATGGGATAAAATGTGAAAGTGGATTTTGTCTAGGGTAAAAACTGTCGGCGATGCAAAATGAGTAGCAACAAAAAAGTTCAATCGACTCACCCTAGTAAATGTCGTCATGTGCACCGGTATGACTCCCAATCTTCAAGCTATCAAGATAGATTCTAGATTAAGATTATATTGGTAACTAGTAAAGTATTAATTTCCGTTCTTCAAAGTGTTCTTTTCTAAACGCTATTGCGTTCAATTAATTAATCCTCATCCTAAATGTTCATAAATTTTAGTGTGCCATTAACATTTAGTTTAATTTCTGTGAGTAGAAATACCGGATCTCAACCAATATTGCCAGTCATTTTGCAAATGATGAATGCTATCGGTTATTTAAAATGTGATCACGCGTCAAGGGGATGGACACCAATGCTAATATTCTATTTTCGTGCTAATTTCGCTAATTTTTTCTAGTTTACTATTTTCCATAAGAAACACACTGTGTCTAATGCATTTTAAATAGAGATTTGTACCTCCATAAGAAATGTATTGAAACAATGTAAATCAAATGGCAATTTTATTTTTGGTGATTTTGGTGAACACACAAAGTGTTTGTAAACAAATTCTACATCTGAAATACATTGTTTCTATGTAATTCTTATGCGAGAGCGTTGCCCATAAGGAATACACAGCACTGTACATTAGTTATGGAAGAGCGCCGCTGTAGATTAACGGTACTGTGTGCATAAGAAGTGTACGGTGCTGTGTATCTCTTATGGGAAACGCTCTCGTATAAGAATTACATAGGAACAATGTATTTTAGATGTAGAATTTGTTTACAAATATTCAAAAATCAACAAAAATAAAATTGCCATTTGATTTACATTGTTTCAATACATTCCTTATGGAGGTGAAAATCTCCATTTGCATTGAACCAATATATTTCAAATGGGCAGTTGTATTTCCTCTAATATTTCATTTTTTTTGTTGCTAATTTTACTAATATTTCACTAGTTTTCTAATGGTGTCGATCCCTTTGTCACGCGTTGAGACACACCAGATCTTGGGCAGAGACACGAGTAACGGCGTTCCGCAAAATTGATTGTGTGACACCGGCAACCTTTTTATTTGTCAGTTTTCAAAGATTCTACTGTAAAAAATAACGAAAAGAAGAAAATGCTAAGCGAAACGAACAAAGAAAACCATCTAACTAAACGATGACAATAATAAGGTAAACAGATTTTAACTGGATGGAGAAGATAGAGAGAGAGAGAGAGAGAAAGCGAGAGAGCGCGAGCGCGAGCGAGTGAGATTGAGAACGAAAAACAAAGGAGAAAAAAAAATTGGTTTCACTAATTTGTATTTAGTTTTTATTTCTTAGAATGAAAATATTTGTTGACTTCTGAAAGCTGCGATTTAAAATGTAATTTTTTAAATTATAGAATCTTTTTTAAAATAAAAGTAGAAGAAGAAGAAAACGGAAAAAAAACTGATGAACAACATCGACAAAATAAAACAAATGTAAGAAAAGAAGAGGAAGAAAACAAAAACAAACAACAACTACTGAAGAATAATGCAAATTATCGCAATCAACGGTTTCATAAAACGCCAAATTGTCTATACATTTTACTAGTATTTATTATATATACAACAACAAAAAATGGATGAAAATAAAGTAAATGTTTCCACGTATGGAGAAAAAAGCACTTGAGATGAGTATGCCGTGATTCGGACCAAACGTCTTGTATCAATAGCTAAAATAAGTTTGCATTTTTTGTAACCGAGAAATAAACTAATGAAATTGTTTCGTCAAGCAGCATGTGAGTCCCGAAGAAAAACACTTCAATAGTCAATAGTCATAGTTGTATAACAATGAGGATAAAGTTCCTTTTGTATGCGTTTTTTTTCTCCTGCATATATATTTGTTTTAGCTAGAAGGGATACCTGTTTTTTTTTTCGAGGTGTTTCAATCAAATCTGGTTTTGAGGTTGTTTCCACAAGACATTGAGCGGTGACTGGATTTGAAATTGTGAATTTCGTTTGTGCTTGCAGTCAAGTTTTATCGTTTACCCATTTATTTAATTAACAAAGTGGATATTCATTGAAAAATGAATATAGAAAAAAACAAAGAGCTGTTGTATATGACGGATAGTAACGGATCTCTTGAGTATTTCTTTTTTGCATACGCGGAAGCAATACAGTGACAAACTAGATAAGAAAAATCATCATATAGGGAATTTAACATTTAACTAAAAGAAAAAAAGAGAAACAGAGAGAAAGAGAGTCAGAGTGAAATAAAAACAAAATAAAATATCAAGATATAAGGAAACTTGAAAAAAAAAACGAAAAAAAAATACATTTATTGATTCTTTGTTGTGCCACAAAGCAATTTGAATTTTTATGCACTGAGAAGAATGCTGAATTTTAATCAATTTGAATATATTAACGTGAACGTTATTTTGGAACCGTATTCTCAAAGTCATCCACACTCTCTCTATACATATACATACACAACTTATGGCGGAGGTACAGCAGATAGGGTATAATATGCAGCAAGTTAAATGAAAATGGTGCTCGATTGCAAAACAAAAAAAGAAAAATCACCATAGCAACTCAAATTTTCTAGAATTAGTCTGTCCGTTTCTCGGCACACGAGGAGCCCGCACTTTGAAATAGTGCGTATACAGTTTCGGTTCTCTCTCATGTTTCATTTGAAAAAAAAAAAAATAAAAAATTCAATGTGCAAATAGATAGAGTCAATACACACAATATTCCAATACATATTTACACGTATCATATGATTTACACTCGTACACTTCACAGCTCTTCGTCGGTAAATATATAAGGAAAAATCAACAAAAATAGAAAATGCATCAAACAATTTGCATTGAAAAACGAATTATGTCATGTAGCATTTAATAGTTTTCTACGTGCCTGCTTCAGAGTAAAATCGTCGTTTTTCTTCCCCCTCCAGTATGTTTACGTTCTATTTGAGCCCCATTGTTTCCATTGAATTTTTGCCAATCATCCGATTGTTGAAGGTCTGTGAATGTTGGGCAGGAACAGTTGAGTACACGTCTATAAACCATTGAACGATACTATCACACTGACATATGATCTATCCATTTGATACGATTTTATTGAAATTCAGAACGAATCATGGTTAAAATGAAACATGATCATATTAATAGTGGACATTTTGTATAAAAAATAATATAATGAATTGGTTTCAATTGTCAATGAACTATTTATGTTCTTTCCATGAATGCATTCATAGTGTTGTAACATTACGATATTATTATTATGATGATGAATATATGTTACTAAAGATCAAATGAATATCAATATCTGAATCGAAAATAAAATGGTTTTAATGTGAGCATTCAATGCTTTTTTTATCCTGGATTAATAGAGGAATGTACCTATGTGTGCGACGTACTCTACACTAAATACAACAATAATCATGAGACACAAATCAACGATGCAGTATTTGGACTTATATATTAACTTCGCTTCAATGCTTCTTCGTGTATTGCAACCAGATTTTGACGGAAATTTATCCATGAAATTTAGTAATTTACGGGTCATTCCCGTAAGGTAACTTAGATCAGATCCAAATTCATAGGTATTCCTCCATCTGAAATCATGAACTTTATTCTAGATCAGAATCTCTGTTTTCTAGATCTATCACAAGGATTGCTAAACTAAAAAGAAATTCATTGATTCGACTGTTTGCCAATAATGAGGAACTTCATTTTGCAAGAGAATTTATTCGTTACACATAAGCCTTCCTCAGTCATTCTTTACTTTCCTTCCGATCTGTTTATCATTCGTAGTACAATCTTGGGTGGTTTTTATTGAAATTTTGATTCTATTTCGATTTGACTCGTTTCATTTGATGAACGATTCAAAATGCCCATCATTTATCGATCTATTAAAATTATTGACTTTTTTCTCTTCCTTCGTCAAATCCTTTGGTTCAAATGTAAAATGTTTTTAATCAGTGATTAAAAATCACAGATGTGTTTTTAAATTTCCATTTCTATTCATATGTCCAAAGTTCCGAATCGGAACCAACGAAAATATATTATAATACTGTAAACACAAGAGTGAAGAAGAAAAAAAAAACAGGCAAAATCTCTATATGTTATGGGCGGATGATTGTTTATTAAAAGAAATCTCCGCTCAAGATATGAACGTGCTCAACAAAGTGAATATCGTTGAATCAGCTTTTTGTTCTGTATAACTGCAATATCCGAATATTTTCTAGAGAAAAAAAAAACGACAATTGTCATTCTCATTGGCTCTCAAGGGAGTTGAGTAGTTTTTACTCCATGAAAAAAAAAAACTACTTCAAAAGTGCAGGTGTAACTTTGTAATTGTTACCTCAAGTTTCTCTTTAAAATAACAACAATAAAATAATAATAATAATTTGTCATAAAAGGTATTTTTCAAATGCTGTTTCAACAACAACAATAACAAGACAACCAATTTTTTGATGTAATATTTTTATGTGATATGAATAGTATGTACCTAAATATAAATTCAAAGAATAACAAGAAAACATTCACACAGCAAACGGGAAAAAAAAATTTACAACCAAAAAAAAAGAAGAACAACCATGAATTTAGACTCTAGGCTGATGCACATTTTATACTCAAGCTCTTGATGTACACAAACGTTACAATTACACAAATCATAGACATTGAAATGAAGGTGCTTTTACATAATTTCCTTTTTGAACTTATAAATTTAATCAATCTTTTGAACAAGAAATAATGTAAGCAAATCTAGTAATGTATTAATCCTCTGCAAAAGAAGAAGGAAACAAAACAACAATAAAAAAAACTAACCAAACGTCAATACTCATAAGCATTCCAAAAATTGACCTTTTAATTTTACCATTTAAGCCATATATCCTTTGAAACAATTGCATTATACAGACTTGTAACGGGCAATCATCTATGTCAATGCTTTTAATCTTACCACTTTTTTTTTGGTGTTATTAGTGTTCATCGTTCATTTTAGCCGAAGTGGACTTATTTCGTTTCCTGATTTCAATCGGAATCTAGTTGAAAAATTGATTACAATCGAAATCTTTTTGGATGTATGTGTTGAGTGTCAACAAGATTTTTTCTGACTTAAAGTTGGTGGATGAAAGCACCCATCGTAAGAAATAATCCCGTTGAAACTGGCACATTTCATGTACTCATTTTTGGTTCGGTATTTTTGTTACATGAATGAGTCATGAGACTCCATCCATATTAATGGTATTCATTGAACCGAAATCGACCAAAAACCATCGCTAAGTTGAAGAAGAAAAGAAAACACTTCGTGTCGAATCATTTCATCTGAAACGAATCTTTTTCAGTGGTATCATAAATAACGAAATGATGATCGGGCAAAATCTTTGTGTTAAGCCCTTTGTTTATTTTTTTTTTACAATAAAAGAAAACGATATACACTTCTGGACTAAGCTTTTAGATGTAAAAATTTAGAAGTGTTTTTTTCTTCTATAGAAGAAACAACTATTTTATAGATGAAAATAAGTGTTTTTCTTTTAAAATTGTACGATTTTTTGTGCGAAGAGTATGTTTCGATCCAATTCATGGAGAGTTTTTGTCAATTTTGTGAGTTTAAACACGAGTACGATGCTAAAAGTCCAAAGAAAAACAATTCAGCTCATTCCTAGTCAATTCCATTCAGAGAATTAACCATTGGTGTTGTGAGCAACTCTCTGTATGTTTATGCATTTTAAATGATATATTGCTTAAATGCGAACCAAAGTAAACCAATAAATTGCAACCAGAAAATGGATGAAAAAATAAAAAAATTGGTCAAATATGAAAAAAGGTACTTGGTTCAAGTACATGGCATAATATCTGTGAATAAATTGCGAGGAGGGCTCTCCCTCGATCAATCGAATCGGTGTTAAATGCAATACTTGATCTCCATAGAATTGGAGACATTTTTTTTTATTTCTTTCAATTTTTACAGGAATTTCAGCACCAATAATGGTAATCTACAATCCTTTTTGTTCCTTCATTCTCGAAATTCTTCTGTTAGAATGCAAACCTCCAATTCTTGGTAGTGTATTTTTTTTTTATCAAAGAATTTCATTCGATCGATTCCTTTTCCGATTTGTGTATATATTGTTTTTCATTATTTCAAACTAATTTTTATGTCAAATTAATGCAAGAAGCGTAAATGCTTCATGTGCTTTTGACAAACCATTCTTTCTTTTTTCTAAATTCGAATTTTTTTTTTTTAAATAAATCCAATGAAAAAAAATCAAATTGAGATAATTCCAGAGATTGATTAAAAGCAACAGCCAACGCAATGTTTCTATGTTAGTTAAAAACTATGTAAGCATTTAATCAAATGTAAAAATAAAATGCTCTATATATGTGCTAGAAAAAATAAATTGGAAACAAATCACATGAATTGCAAATGAATGATTGTCAGGTCAACTGGACTAAGAAGAGTTCCGTTCAAGGGCGGAATCGGTTCGATGCATTGGATCTATCCAGACACCCACAAACACTCTCATAAATGAATTAAGAATCGAATAACCATATATGTATCTCCTTCCAAAATAAGCAGTAAACGTGCATTGATCTCACTGGAGTATGCACGTTTGAAAAACCAATCTATTCATCCCTCTATCTCTCCACAAAAACACACACACACACACACACCAAATCAACAGAATGAGAAAATAAACGAACGAATATAGATATGATAAAACTCGCACAGAAGAAAACCCCAAAGAACAAACGAAAGAATAAAACGCCCGCTAATTGAACTTCCATCGATGAAATAGAAGAAAATATTGAAATGCATCATTTTTATACAGCGTACACAAAAGTAAACGCATTACTATTCTAATAAACTTATCACTGTTTTTGTTGAATGTGTGGAGTAGCAAATCTTCAATGTGAATCACAACAAGTTTTGAAAAAAATTAATCAATTTTAAAGCTAATAACTAAACAAAACTACCCCCCCCCCCAAACAAAATATCCTTGAACTTAGTCATATTGAAGGAAGAAACAAACAAACCAACAAAAAATTATAAAATTACATGAATCAAATAAAATAATAAATGCTTGAGGTGAAAAAACGTGCGTTTCAATTCTCTCATTTTTTGCTATAGCATAGAGCACATATCGTAGAATGATTCCATTCTTTGGATTCAATCCATCGAGAATGATAGCATCACTAAGAGCAGAAGGTAAGTACAAAATGTTTAAAAGAGGTGAGTTGAATGGGCCAAATTCTTTGATTTCAAATATAACTTATGCCATTCTTACACTTATCCAGTTACTAAGTGGATTATGTATTGTCTCGAGCCGTGTGCATTTCTTCTCTTCAGTGGATTAATAAAGATAGATTGTTATCTTATGTGGAATAAGAAAATTGTAAAAATCCTATATATAAATTAACATATATATATTCATACATCTTAAAGATGGATAGGATTGTAACGTGTTAAGATGAAGAGGTGGAGGGGTATTCCAAAACACCATCGCATCAGTATGGACCTTTTGCAAATGTCAATCTTGAAGCCATAGACGGAACTGCATTTTATCTTAAAACATGAACTATTTGATTTAATTTAATGGCCAAAATGTCGAATCAACCGGATAAGGTCACCTAGGTAGGTGGGTAAATGATGCATTACAAAATTTCATTTTCTTATGCATTTACACAATTCCCTATCTCTGTACTTCGCTCGGTTCCAAGAAATTCCAATCGATCATAATAAATCAACATAAAAGAGTCGAGTGCAAGTATTCATCATTGTTATGATATATCAACGCATAGTTTTTCTCTCTCTCTCCCTCTCTCTCATTCTGTCCCACTCGCTGTCTCATTGTGCCGTGAATCGTGTGCAAAATGCAATTTGTGTTTTGACATTTTATTTTTTTCAAAAATTAATTGCATGCGGCAGTAATGTTTGTAGCCAACAAAACGCAATTAAATTTGATATCAAGGACGAGAGAGAGAGAAAAAAACCTCAAAGTCGCACACAATTTGTTTTTTCGTTCGTTCGTTTAGAACGAGTAATGTAAGTATATAACTGATGGATTAGCGATTAGTAAATTACAACGAAAAAGAACGAGAGAAAAATAAAAAAAAATGTGAATCGATCGACCAGTGCCATCTGTATGTGAATGCCGTACACTTGTCAACGACATAACCCATTGGCCATCATTGAAAATCAATGGGGTTATTAGAAGCAAAACACACAGAGAGAAAGAAGAACAACAATACAAATTACTAATAAACATTCGAAACGAAGAAAAGAACAACTCATTTTTCAGTGGACAAAATGTGCGTGCAACTCGATTTGTTTGTGGTATAATATCCATTGAATATCTGCAGTGAAATGTGCAAACTCGAATCGTTTTTACGGACCTGTCAAATTGAAGGAAGAGAAAAGAAATATTGAACACGGACAGTAAAAAAAGTATTGTGGTAAATACTGACTGAGTTAGAAGAAGAAATCAAGTTGCAAAAAATTGCATCAACATACAATATTCCATTGTATCGAATAGAAAGGTGGAAAGAAAAAAATTCTTCACGAAAATCGGCTGTAAATCGCAAAAGAAAAAATTCGTGGCAATTTTTTTTTGGCAATAATCGATGTTGCGAATAACATCATAGAGACGACAAGGATAACTACAATTTTTGTGATTACGCGTCAATATACGTTCGGACACACGATTTAAATTTGAAATCGACAACGACGATTGTTCAGTTCTGTTGTTTGTTTGTTTTTAGCGTAGTAAAAACAATCAAGACAATTTCATTTGATGGTCGATGTTGGGATGGGCATATTTTCATTATACAATCGACGGGAACGAGGACTAAAACATAATATTGGCTATGAAGATCAAATACATAAATCAATATACTCACATCTGGAGCCATACAGTTGCTGGAACAGCAATTCGGCGACTGGTTCCGAATTTGGTGGCGTTTACAACTTAGAATATTCACCAGATGGGTAATTTGGCTTGTTCAATATGCAATTTTTTCATTCGTTGACACCATGAATATTGGTCGTTATTTCATTTGTTCCTTTTTCCTCTCTCTCTCTCTCTTTCTCTCACTTTCAGTACATTATTAATAGCTGCTTGTGAAAAAAGATCGATTGTTTTATTCGATCCAATAACCAATCGTCAAACGAAGGCTGTGAAAAATGCGCATCAAGATTCTGTCAATTGTGTTAAGTATGCAATCGATGATGATACGAGAGAAAAACGTAGTAAATATGGCATTTTTATTTGTTCATTCCCATAGATTTTTGTCGGATTGTTTGTTTGCGACCTGTTCCGATGACTCAACGGTGGCATTGTGGGATAAACGAAATCTACGATCGAAAGTGCGAAGCCTACACGGTCACATGAACTGGGTGAAGAATATCGAATACTCAACAAAAGAAAATTTACTCGTCACCTCTGGCTTCGATGGTAGCATATTCACTTGGGATATCAATTCGAGCACCGAACAGGGTTTTGTCTACCAAAAAGTGTTCCATACGCCCGGTTTGATGCGGTGCCGTGTATCACCAAACTCAAACCAATTGGTCATTTGCACCACGGGCGGTTATTTGATCATCATTCACGACTTAGAACTATCAACACTGGCCGAAGATCTGAATGGTTTTAAGGTGGGTGTTCTTTGATACTGCAATGAAAAATTGCTGTTGAATGGGAAAAATAGAATTTGGTGTATTTCATCAAATAGAGATATTTTTTTTTTAAATTGAAAGAGATTGATGGAATTCCAATCGAGAGATATCGCCATTGAGCATGAAAAAAATACACCTAAATTGACCAAACCTTTAACACAGACTCTTGCAATTGTAATGGAGATGCATGGAGTAGAAGATTTCAATAGTTTCTCATTCGATAGCATCATCGTTGACTTGTTCATTCAAAAGTTGTTTATCCAAGGCTTGGTCCATTTTTGAGTGTAGATTTTTCTTTAGCATACTATGCCTTATATATAGAAACTTGTTATTAACGAACAAAAATATGATTTCGTTGCTCTAAACTCAAGCTACTCAAATGTAGTGACTCAAGAGCTTGAAACCATTCACTTTTTTTCATATGCATCTACAGATTGAATATTTTAAATCGAATTTTAATTGGTATATAATTCATTCAATTTGTCCCTTTCAAATACCAGCCAAACGTTTATCGACTGATGCAGCTGGGCCGACAGTTTATTCCGACGGCTGCCAAATTCGATCATGTGTTCTCAAAAAATATGAAACGAAATCGCGTCGAATTAGTTAGTGATTTTCCAAACGATGCCGAAGTTATTAGTAGTTTACAGGTGAGTGTATTGTGTTTGATTTTCAATAAACAATAACCGCAAAATGTTCAACATTAAATTTAATTACGATGTTTTTTTTTTTCAAATATAAATTAAATTAAATTCAATTGCAATTTCTTGAAAATGAATTAAAAATCATTCAAATTGGTTTGAAGTTAATTCAATTTGCAAGAGATTCATCCAAATGGATGATATGAACATGACTTTCAATTCAATTTCGAAAAAATAATTCAATAACAAAAAAATTAAATAAATTGACTGTGTCGATTGACCACAGATTCACCCGCACGGTTGGTGTGCACTCAGTCGGAATATAAGCTATGACGAAAGCGCCGAATTCACCTGCTTACACGACATTCAGCATCGCGACTACGATGAAAGCATTGACAACACCGAAATGGACAATGATACAAGCAACGATGCATCAGATTTGCATCTGTCGACACCGCCAACCTCACCAAATGTAAGATAATCCATGAAGATTGACTTTCAAGAATTCCAAATTTTAGCTAGAAATTTAATTTTCTTGATTGATGACAAAATATTTGTTTTGTTTTTTCTTTCAGGCAAGTAGCACAGTAACGCATCCCGATATATGGGCAGCAGAGATGACCGTACGTGATCGTTTATTGCGCGTAAGACATAGTGATTCGAATACATTCAACAATACCCATGTGTATGGTATTAGCAGTGGTGTGTTATCGATGCAAAATGCGAATGCTACAACGGCAGCCGCACAACCGGTTCGATTGTCGGCGTCACCGCCGTCAAATGGTGGTGGAGGTGCTGGTATCGGCAGTGGTTATCGTTATATGTACGTACCAAAAAAGCCAATACCACAAAATGTACGGAGAATGCTGTACTCAATTGAGCAGCCAAATAAAGGGCCTGGTTTAATCAAAGAGGAATGTTTTTCGTCATGTGGCCGTTTAATTTGTTCACCGTACGGCCTTGGTTTTCGTCTTCTTGCATTTTCGCCTGATTGCCATGAACTACCGCATGCCCTAATGCAACAGAACGATTCTAACAAATTGACCGAGCTCAAATATACCAATTGTCATCCGGACATTGTGGTCAGCACACGATTTAGTCCCATTTCGCCGTTATTAGTGAGTGGCTGCTTACAAGGCAAAATCATATGGCATCAGCCACGATTTTAGTTCTTTTTTCCTCCGTTTTTTTTTTTTAATCTGGTTCATGCATTCGCGTATACGCATGATATTGAAACGTTTCTATTTTTTTCTTAATTAAAAATAAAATGTATATGTATATATAGCGTATGTTAAAATAAACCCCAAAATTCGTTTTGCATAAACTGCCCAAAAAAGAAGAGAACAAGAATCAAAACCGTCTCATCTCTCAGTTTTTATTTGTTATTGTATTCATTTTTCGCTCTATATCCAAACATATTTAGCCCGTACGTTGAGTACTGCAAAACAAGATCGTATGACAGAGGGATTAAAAGGCAGAAAATACATTTATATTAAGTACAGATGTAAGTTCATGATACATGTGTGTCATTGGACGCATCCATTTTATCACCGCCGGCATGCTAACACTGACATTTTACTGCTGTAGATACATCGAACAGGCAGATAAATAAAGTAAACGCAACGCATCAAAATCATCAACGAGCAGAAAACAAGTAACGAGCAGAAAATAAGTAACGAGCACATGTAAAAATGTATGAGTTGTTCGTGTAAATTAAGTGCATCGCCGAAAAACCAATTCAATTCATTTAATTTCAATATTATCTGTGCAATTGAAGGAAAATACGAAAAAAAAATTGCAGAAAAAAATAATCAACATTGAACACACAGAGCGAGAACGAAAGAGAGAGAGAGAGAGAGAGAGAGAGAGCGAAAAAAAGGGAATCGAACATACAAATCGCCTATTTGACGTGTGTTAACATTTAGTTTTGTAACTAATATGGCGTCGATTGGTAGTGAAGAAAATGCTGTTAAAGAAATCGGTAATAAATTTGTTTGATAGCCTGGCGGCTACATTTGTGAATGATTGTTTTGCACGGGACGTGTGTGTTTCGTTTGAAGTGGCATATTTTTAACGAGGCAAATATTGTGTGTGTGTGTGTGTGTGATTCGAATGGAAATTGTAGTATCACAGCAAATATTATATAAACATAGGCGGCTTAGTGGCTATTTTGGCGATGTCCAAATCGTTTCAATCAGCCGCCATTAGTTTAATTGCTTGTCACAAAATTTGAGTTTTTTTTTCTCACCTGCTTATGGCTTTTGTTCTTTTAGTTAGAAAACAGAATTGAGCGAATGCACAGTAAAAATATCGCACTATAACCCTGTTAATACCATATCATTTTTCACCGGTCTAATTTGCGCTGTTTTTTTCTTTCTTTTTCTCTCTCCCTTTTTCATGGCACCAATTGCACATCATTTGTTGCTTGTTGGCCAAAAATAATGACAACAACCCAATTTACCTCGTCGTCATTGGGCCAATTCAGAGGGAGCACGACGTACGAGGTCAGGCAGAAAAGCTGCTACAACACCAGTAACCGTTGTTCCAGTTAGGAGTACACGCAGATCAACACGAAATAAATCAATTGACGTAAGTATATGATTGAGTTCCCGTTTATTGTTGTTTCACATTGGTATGTATCTGTGTATATATCGGAAAGCAGAGAAAATGAACAACAAAATAAAACGACAAAAATTATAGTTTTTATTGAACCAACAATGCGTGATGAACGATTTTGCTAGTAAAGCATTTGTTGAGAAAAGTTTTCTCCATTTGCTCATATGACATGCACTTTTGTTTAGTGTATTTGTGATATTTTAGCAAGGGCCAACTGACATTTTTTCTTTCTTTCTCTCGATATGATCGAAAAACATTGTGTTTTTTCATTTGAATCAATCAAAATGCCACCAACATTTGACTTTCATTTTGATTATATTCTCAATTTTCGTAATAGAACGGCAGCAGTGAAGGAAATGAAAAGCGAATTGAGGAAGGTGAGACGATAGAGGAAGAAGAAACAGAGACAGAACACCAACAGCAACCCGAAGCGATTGAGTTTGAAAGTGAAGACATGATGCAAATCAATTTAGATGCATTGCAAGATCAATCGTCCGCTGCTGCTGCTGATGATGATGATGCCGTTACGGATGTTAATCAACCATCCGCCGAACCAAACGATGGAACATCCGTTCAAATAGATACCACCACCATTACAACCACAACAGCTGATGCCACCGAAATAAATAGTGATTCAAGTAGTTTGCCGGCGATAGCCGAAGATCTACCAAATGGTTGTAGTCAAGATACAAAAATTTCAAATGAACTCGATGCCGAAATGGTGTCCGAAGATGAATTGCCCGCACCCGCACAGCCGAAAATCGATGATGCCGAAGATTTATCGGATGAAGAATTGCCGGGACCGAAGCGGGCTGAGTTACCAGCCGACACGGAAGTTGTGTCGGAAGATGAATTTCCGTCGTCGAACAAAGCCAAACGGAAAATTGAAGATGGCCAAGAAGCAGACAATACCATAGAAAATGCCGAAACTCCAAAGAAACGTGCAAAATCAGAAGTTGACAGTACGTATGCAATTTTGTAAAAGAGACACAATATTCTTTTAAATTGAATAATGAAAAATTATTTCATTTCAAACATTTTGTTTCGTTCATTCAGTCAAAGAAGCGGAAAAACCGGCTGAGCCTAGCGAAAAAGTGAGCCAGAGAAAAACACTACCCGACCTTGATAGATATTGGAAAGCGGTTAATGATGACCCAAGCGATTTCACTGCCTGGACATATCTGTTGCAATATGTGGAACAAGAGGTATTTAATGTGATAATTAAACAACAGAAAAAAAGTTGAAAAAAAAACACACACACACGGCAGTACCGTAGTCAGATTTCATATTATTTTAGTCATTTTACGACATTCTTGAAACACATATTTTTTTACAGCAAAATAAAAAAAAAAGTGTCTGGACTCTACGATAATAATCCAGCTACGGTACTGCAATTAGGTACAATGTAGATAGTTTACAATATAAATTGAAATCAAGTACACTTTTCTGGCTGATTGAATGTGCAACATCTTTTGTCTGACCAAAAATTTTTCTTCCACATTATCTAACACAGAATGACATTGAGGCAGCCCGTGAGGCGTACGATGCATTTTTGGCACATTATCCATACTGTTATGGCTACTGGCGAAAGTATGCCGACTATGAAAAGCGGAAAGGAAACAAAAAGAAATGCGAAGATGTAAGTTGGAACACATATTTTTCGAATACAAAATGCATATATTCGTTTTTATCAGTGAATTTTATGTGCGTGCTTCATTGCATGCACCGGAAGCAAGAGATACAGAGAGAGAAAGCAGGAGAGATATTGAGAAATGGAGAGAAATACAATTTCAATTTTTTTTCTTTGTTTTTTTTTTCTTCTTCTGTTATATATTTGGCTTTTGCAGAGAATATTCAATTTTTGAATCCATGTATCGACCTTTTTTCGATACAATTCACACATATACACAGTCAACAGCTGTTTGTCTGCACACGAAAACCCCATATTCTCGGGACCCACTTGCTGCCATTAATTTTTCACAATAATTACTATGTAATTACGTTATCCGATACAAAATCGACTTCGATCGCATTTTTTTTTATTGCTTTTAATATTTTTATACTATGTATAGTACAGTAAAAAAAAAGAGTAATGTTTGTCATTAGTATACAAATTGATTTACGTGGATGGAGTTCCATACAAAAAATGATAATGAGATACAGACACAATATGTTTGTCCCACTTTTTGAACTGCTCCACCGACACTTAATTCAATTTGTTTACTGATTTTTATTTTGTGATTTATTCATGAATTGTGATACTTAAAGACACGTATTGTGTATATTTAATTTTGTTTTATGGAAATGAATTAAATATTTATTGAAAAAAAAAAACAAGAATCAACATCAATCATGCAACATCATATGTTTTGAGTTTTGTTTGGATGGGGTTAGATAAGTTACTTCCACGTGAATCTCCTTGCATTTTGACTCCTATGAAATTGCTTTTGATTGTTATTTTTCGTCATTTTCCTCTTTATCCATCCTTTTTCTTGATCCAAAAATGGATAAACAGTCTTATTTTTTCTTTACTCAATCCAAATGCCAAAGTCCACAAAATTTGTTGCAATTCGAATGTAAATTCAATAAATTTGGTTTCTCTCCTGATATTTCTCACTGAGTTTTTCCCTGTTTCATGCCAATTTTCTATGATAATTGTTCCTTGGGTTTGTAGTTCAATCGAATATAAATGCTAAATTACTTGCAAAAACGTTAAAGTCCATTGTCCATTTTCCATTCATCACACACATACACATACACAAAACAAAAGGTGTTCGAGCGAGGATTGAAGGCGATACCATTGTCCGTGGACTTGTGGATACATTACTTGACGCACGTGAAACAAAATTATGCGGAGAATGAAACGTTTGTTCGTTCACAGTTTGAGCGTGCGGTAACGGCGTGCGGTTTGGAATTTCGATCTGATAAACTGTGGGAAGCCTACATCAAATGGGAGACTGAAAATAAACGCCTAAATAATGTGATCAGCGTGTATGATAGACTGTTGGCAACACCGACTCAAGGCTACAGTAGCCATTTTGAAAAGTAAGTTCAATTCGCCTTTTTCCCATTTTTTCTCCATTTTTTGCCTTTCTTAAAAAAAGAGATTCTTGATACGAAATGAGTTATTAATAACTAGAAAAACGTTTTTTTTTTAAAAAACTTCCTTTCATAATTCAAGAGTTATCTTGTACTTGAATTGTCTAACATGTCTCATTTTCTTCTCCTATTCTCTTTCGACGCATTTCTTGCCGCAATTTGATATTGAAGTTTCCAAGAAATCGTTAGCAACAATGCAATTACATCATTGATATCGGTGGAAGAGTTTAAGCGTCTTCGCGCCGAAGTGCGTGATGCGGTGACAAAAGAAGCGACCGACGATGATTCAACACTGGCGCCGGGTGAAGAAGAGCCTGACGATCATGTACGAAATGAGACGGAAGCATCGGCGATCAAAGAAAAATTGCTGAGTGGTTATCGTAAAGTGCATAAAAATACGGTAGCAGCGGTGACATCACGTTGGTCCTTTGAAGAGGGTATTAAACGGCCGTATTTCCATGTGAAACCGCTTGAACGATGTCAATTGAAAAATTGGAAGGATTATTTGGATTTTGAAGTTGAACATGGTGATCGTAAGCGTATTTTAGTGTTATTTGAACGTTGTCTCATCGCATGCGCATTGTACGATGAGTTTTGGTTAAAAATGATCCATTACCTTGAGTCGCAGCCCAACGAATCGGAGATTCAGCAAAAGACACGTGAAGTGTATGAACGTGCGTGCACCATACATCATCCGGAGAAGCCAAGCTTACATTTACTGTGGTCAGCATTCGAAGAGCAATTGGGCAATTTGAATAAGGCCGCCGAAATTTTGAGTAATTTAGATAAGACCTGTCCAAATCTAATGCAAGTAGCATATCGTCGCATCAATTTGGAACGAAGGCGTAGTGATTTTGACAAATGTTCACAGCTGTATGAACATTATATAGTAAATACGAAGAATAAAACGACTGCCGGTAGTTTTGCCATCAAATATGCTCGATTCTGCCATAAAATCAAGCGTGACATTAATGGTGCAATGGTAATTTTACAAACGGCACTGGATAAAGATCCAAGCAATGCACGGATCGTGCTACAAATGATCGATTTGGCATTGCAACGGCACACAATCGACGAGAAAGAGGTGGTCAAAATTATGGACGATTTTTTGGCACGCGATAACATTGACACCGACCAAAAAGTGCTGTTTACACAGCGCAAAGTCGAATTTCTGGAAGATTTTGGACAATCGGCCGCCGAACTACAAGATGCTCAACGATTACTACAGACCGCACTTAGCAAAGCGAACGAAACCAAAAATAAATCAAGGTAAGCGGATTGCTTTAATTTTTTTATCGATTAATTAAAGTTTTTTTTTTGGGAAGAGATCCGTAATCATTGCGGTGTTTTCAATTGAAAGACGATTGTTTTTCTTAGAACGTTCGTTTAAATCGGTTTTATTTGCGCAATTTTCGATTAAATATAATCATTTTCGTTGGTAACAGGTACAGGCATATCTCATGTCAAAATTATCGCCAAGATTCTTGTCAGTTAATGTTTATTCCCAAACTTCGCGACAAACACCATTCTTATCTGTTAGAATGAAAGGAAATAATGTTTTATTATTACTCAGTTTTAGCCTGATTCCAATCCGATTTCCACAAAAATTGGACAAATTCGTATGAAAGTACTATTTTCAAGGATCACCATCGCTCACGATTGCTCGATCTTCTACATATAAAATATATAGGGAAGATTGTGCACGATTGCAAGCAATTTATTTCGTGGGCCTTGGAAATAGTGCCTTAAATGACCACATTTTTGCTATATCCTCTACATTTAAATTTGGAATTTCAAAATGAAGCATATCATACCTGGTCTATATCCATCAGGACATTGAATTGGTACGCTGACAATATTTCTCTGTAAAATGGAAAAAAAAATGTGTTAAAAACTTGAATCATTTAAAAAGTGATTATGAAAAAAATATCTTCATCTTTCAATGAATTTAATTTCATTGATATGATTGATATCTAGAGCACCAAAAAGAAAAACGTGGGAAAATTACCCAAAGCTTTTGGTTGAGCTCAAACTTTTTAAAAGTACGCACTGGTATATCTATCGAACTGTTATCCTTGGTGTCCACTGGCTGCGCAATGATCACATTGCTGAGCAACAGAATGCACAGAACAATTGCCGTGTATGCCATGTCTGAAATGATGGTGCACGAAAAACAATCTGATGGCCTTATACCGAATTACACGGCAATTTATTAACTGCGACAATCAATTGGAATTGAATTGTGTGACTCACCAGTTTTGATGATGTCGATAGATTGTGAAACAACATGAAAAACGTTTTTGCAATTATAACAACGTGATTAAAGGTGGAGACAAGGCGAAAAATAATAAAGAATGGAAAAGTCTCTTCGTCTCTTATCGCACGAGTAAACTAGATTAGATATCCAATTCAGTTTATTAACGTCAATGTTGTTCGATACCTCTATGAATTATTACACAATGCTATCATTCGCAAAAAATGCGCTGAAAAATTCAACAAATTCTTTTTTTGTTTTTTTTTTTGCTGAAATTATGTTTCATAACTCAACGTTAATTATTGCATTCTTATTCTATTTATACAATATTTCCATGATTATTATCAAAGGGCTATTGTGGGCAAATCATTGAATTAAATTCGATGTCTCCTGTTCATTCCATAAATTCAATATCTCTTTCAAAATCTTATTGGTGGCCATTAACTCTAAGTTCTAGCAACTTCTTGTTAATTATTGCATTTTTGCCATTCAAGCCTTTCACCATATCCAATTATGGTACAAAATCGAGGGGCAAATCACTCTAAAGTAATTTGTAATAGAGAAAGTAATTTAGAGTGATTCGCCCCTCGTACAAAATAGTAATTAATGTAGATTAAACCAAATTCACAAATGAATTTCCCACGAAAAATCAAGAAATTCTTTTATTAGTGATTTTACACATTCTTTTTTTTCTGTTTCGATATCATTTCCAGTGAGTCACCGCAAAAGAAGACACCAAAAGATAGTAGCACAACACAACAGCCATCATCAGCGTGTCCACCGTCAGCCACCTACAATAGTTCGTATTATAATTCGGGTAATTCCGCATACTATGGTAATAATCAGCAGCAGCAGCAACAACAGTATGGAGCTCAAGCGTATGGCGCCGATTACAGCACTTATTACAATAATTATAGTAACTATGGTCAGTGGAGTTATGGATGGTAACGAATTGTTGTTGAGAAGCTAAAATCCAATGTTTATTTCATTTCTTCTTTTATTTGTTTTTGTTTTTTTTTTTAAATAAATGAAAACAAAACACAAAAAAGAATCAATTAAATGTCTCTTCGTTGCAAAAATTAAAAAAAAAAAAACAGAAAGAAAAGAGAGAAAAAAACACACACAATGAGAAATACAATTAGTAATATACTTGTAGTCTGTAAGACATTTCATATTTTTTTAACATTCACAATAATTTTATAAATAAAAGTAAAAACAAAAAAGAAAAATTATTCAGAAAAAATAAACCAAAAAAAAAAAAATGAAATGCCAAAATTGAAAAAAAAAGAAATCAAATCAAAATTGGAGTATTTAAATTAGCAATTTGAACTAGAATATTGTGTATTTTTCCAGCATTTTGGTTTGAGAAAAAGAAAATGCTTAAAAAAACACTTTTTCCTCCTGTTTTTACTGAAAAGCATTAAGAGAAAATTGATTACTTTGGTCAGTAATTGCTGTGTAAGCCATTGTGAATTGAAATTGCGACATTAAACTAGAAAACAAAAATACAAAAAAATATACACAAACACACACACAATTTTTATTCTTCGTAAGTATAGTTTTATTTCATAGAAAAAACGACAACTATTTAATAATATATTCATAGCGTTTCCATTGCAATGAGCTTCGTTAAACTTAACTTGTCACACGGTCAACATCACTTGTATTTTAATTTTTCGTGTTTTTTTTGGTTTCGGTTTTTTTAAATGCCTTTTCGCCTATGGTGCATTTATCTCTTGCTTGATTGCATTGCAAGTCTTAACTAGACACAATGAATGTTCCAGAGAGAAGAATTTTAATTTTATTCCATTGCATTTGTATTGAACATAGGACTTCGCCATGAATCTCCTTTCGAGAATCTTCGAATCGATAATCGAAATAAAGATTTGCAACGAATCTTCGAAATTTGCAACGAATCCTTGGGATTTTCATGCGAATTTCCAAGTTTTGTAATCAATCACAAGAGACAAATGTCGTCCTTGCTTTTCGTTCATATTGAATTGCTTCGAGTGTATCTGTCTTCTGTCAAACAGTTGCTACTAATTGTTGTTTGCTTTAAATTCATAACAAGAAATATTCTAAGATTAATTCCTTATCATTTATTTTTAAATAAATCACAGCGTCCACCAAATGAGGAAAGAAAAAAACAAATCGATATCGTCATATGATCTTCGTACAAAATTCAGCAACTTAAAATTATCTACATACATAAACAACCATGTTGTTGATGTGAGCAGCAAAAATAAATGCAATTGAATTTGGCAATAGATCTTTTCTTTTTTTTTATGGAACAATCGAGAGAGTGAAACAATACATAGCGTTGTATTGGTTATGCTTATTTCGAAGAGAGTAAATTGATACATTTTTAATTTCATTGGTTTAAATTTCCAACCAAAAATTTAATCGCAATTTGTCTTGAATGGCTTCTGAGAGAACTTCTCTCAGAGAAGTAATCCAGTTCAGTCATTAAAAAAACATAACAAGAAAGAAATCGATGATGTAACATACTAAATAAACACAAATAAACGTATCGGGAATGCCTGAAAACTATTTATGGTTTTTGCTGATAAGATTCTTTTCACAGTTGTAGAAAGGTAACGTACATCAATTGGAAGAAGCAACAACAAAAAAAACAGAAAACAACCCAAGTTGTGTCAACGACTGAGTCATGAGCTGCTTTGAGAGTTGTTTGTGGTGATCAGAAGGGGAACAAAATGGGGGAAATAAACCAGAAGGTGCTTACATACTAATAACCTAGTCTTTAACTTTGATTGTTCCAAGTGGAAATGAGGAGGAGTGTGTTCTGTGATGTAAATAGATTAACAGTCAAATAAACCGTGTATTTGTCACTAGTTTTCTTGGAGATTCAGTCAGAACTTATATTATGCTACTAAATAGTTTTTCCTTTTAGTTTTATAGGCGAATTTTTGTTATCTCTATCGAAATGATATTGCATTTGGTGAGGTGCACGTGTTTATCTATATCTACATAATGAGCGTAAGACATATCATATTTTTGTTTGTTTGTTTCAAAGTTCATATGGGCAACTGAGTCATTGGCTGCATTGGGTTCTTCCCATCAATTCAGCCGATCAACAGAAAATCAGTAGTATTAATTGTATCAAAAATATTCTTATCATTCTCTTTCTTTTCCTTTTTTTTTGTTTTGCTTAAACAGAACAAACATAGAAATTGTGTTTAGGTAGCTCACGGTACGAAGCTTCCATTTTGAATATAATCCAATCGAATTATTATCGGCCAAATCAATTTGAGCAAATTCATTGTACCTTTTGTGATAAGAGTAGATGGTTTGTTGTTGTTGTTTTAAAATGAAACTGAAACACTGAGTGCATATTTTGGATGCGTTTGTCATGTGTTCGCACAAGTGTTTTGGCAGATGGTTTGTTTACCATTGCATTCAAGCCATTCATCGCTACCGTCGCAACAATCACAAACTCCATCATTAACATGGCTACTTGGTATGGAAATATCACGACCACGTCCAGTCAAATGCCTGATTCAAACGATAAAATGACAGAATAGAATTGACAATTGAATAAAATCGTTGGGATGGCACACAATCACAAATGTGTTTACCTTTTCTGGTAGGTGCAATAAAATACGCCATTTGGACAGGCATTTGTTTCGGGTTCATCGCTACCGTCCACTTCACAATCGCAATAGTCATCGTTCAGCCGTTCAAGTGGCACTGCTTTGCCCGTTTGGATACAAAAAAATGTGTCTCGCACCACTGGATTGTATAGATCATAGTCCTTATACCGTATCCCCCTGCGATGTAAAAATTTAGAAGAAAAAAAAACCATAAGAAGCTTAAAAAAGAATCACATTTATGAGTCACAATCAACGGCCTGCACCAAACATCCAATTACACTTTACCGAATTATTCGTCTCGTTGTCTCTTTTGTTTGCAAATTTGATTGCACCGGCACTCTGAATGGTTTATGTTCGACTTCAGTTTGAAGTTGTTTTATGTAAAATAATTGATATGCAAAAAACACCACAGCCATTATAAATACGCTAAGCAACGTCATTTGCAATTTCTTTTTGTAAAATGGTTTGTGGTATAAATTTTCCTTTTTGATCCATTGTTTTCGCATTTTTCGCTCTGTTGTTCGTCGTTTGCCTTAGTTTCAATCTACGGGGAATGTAGGGAGAATAGAAAAAAACAACACTTGAGAATAGATGATTCTACGGATTTTCGGTATGATTATTTGGTAAATATTGTATACGTTTAATGTCGGTTCCAACATACAAAACAAAATATTGACGTTTAAATGTCAAACTGCAATGGACATGATGTTTATGTGTGTGTGTGTCTGTTTCTGTGTCTGTGTATTGGTTCAGTGTCTACGGCAATGCTGCTGTTATGCGTTTGAAATCGTAATGTTTGCGGTTTAGTTTTATTTAAATTATTTCCACGATATAATCCACGATAATCAAGTATGAAGGAAGATTGTAAGAAAACACAAGACGTTGAACTCACCGAAGATGTCACGTTTCGGGATATGATGCTGAAGCAGCAAGTGCTTGCCGGTCTCACAAAATGCAATTTCATCAAACCATCGCCCATCCAAATGCGCGCCATTCCCATTGGACGGTGTGGCCTAGGTTAGTTTTCAAAGACATTTTCTTCTATTTTGATCTTTATGGTTTTTTTTATTTGTACTCGAATTTTGCGTTCTTTCCCTTTTGTTTTTACTCTTTTCATAAATCAATTGTTTTTTTTCCTTCAATTTTTAATTTAAAAATTCCAGATTTAATCATCCAATCGAAGTCGGGCACAGGAAAGACTTTGGTCTTCTGCACAATTATCCTCGAACGATACGATCCGCAAATCAAAACTCCACAATCGCTAATTGTGGTGCCAACACGTGAGATTGCATTGCAAGTTGAGAGCTACTTAAGTTCCATCGGATCCAGTTACTCTGGTATGTGTTTGTCAGAAAGATATTTTGACCAAGTTCAGATTTTTTTTCATCCTGATCCTCATGATCAGGGCCTCATTTATGTTCATCAAGAGTTTGACTCTGGAAAATGTATTGAAAAAAAAAACATATAAAAATTTCTTTATTATCAACAGGATTCAGTGTGGCGAGTGTAATTGGTGGCCGTGACATTGTCGAAGACCGAAAACGAATCAGTAAATGTAAAGCGATTGTTGGAACGCCCGGTCGAATATTGCATTTGATCAAAAATAACTATGTCTGTCTGCAGAACATTCAAACATTTGTGCTGGATGAAGCCGATAAATTGGTGTCTGACGATTTTTACGGTGATATCAATAAGTTTTTGAATGCACTGAACAAAAATCGACAAATTATTGCATCGAGTGCAACGTACGCCGACGATTTGGACAAATTGATTGTGTCGTTTATGCATAATCCGATTGCGGTGTCCACATCACGTGATACAGCCGTACTGATTGGCGTCAAACAGTTCATTCTGCCCGTTACAGAGTTTGCATTGCCGAGCACAGTGCAGAATTCAACGGCTTCCATTCAGGCCATGCGGCGCAAAGTCGCTGCAGTCGAGTATATCCTTAGCACAACATCATTTAAGCAATGCATTCTATTCTCAAATTCACAACTTCGCGCCAATAGCTATGCCAACTATTTGACCCAGATGGAATGGACCGTTGAATTGGTGATCGGATCACATGATCAAGAGACCCGTACAGCAACATTGCAAAAGTTTCGGTAGGTGGACGGTGGTATTTTCTCCTTTTCATCATCATTTTTGAATCTAAATGAAATGCAATTTTACCTCTTGATTTTAATCGACTTCATGTTCTTTTCCACAGACAGTACAAATCTCGAATACTCATCACAAGCGATCTGATGGCACGCGGTGTCGACATTGTAAATGTCAATTTGGTGATAAATCTGGATGTGCCCGGTGATAGTTCAACGTATTTACATCGTATTGGACGATGTGGCCGCTTTGGCCGTCGTGGATTGGCCATCACTTTGGCCAGTGATGACGCTGAAATGGAAAAATTTCGAAAATTGCTCGGTATCATCGGTGGCAGTAAAATGAAAGTGGCCACATTTCCGACTACTTTGAATGGCGGTGCCAATTTTGATGCATGGAATTCCACCGATGAATCACAACCAGATGATTCATACGTATTTGGCGCAATCGATGAGGAAAAGCCAATTGAGGCTAAACAAGCAGTTAATGAGGAACTGCACAATGGACAAGAGAAGCAAACGTCGAAACATGAAGCGGAAAAAGATACAATCGAAAGTAAAAATTTAAATCTACTCGAAGTGGCCCGGCTGCTAATTGATACGGATTCCACACCAAATGACCTGTTTTCGAGTTATCAAAATAGCACTGACAATACACCAATGCCTGATGTCACCATTTCAACAGATATCTTCGACGACTTTGCCCAGTTCCAATGCAATGGAAATGCTGAACAACAAGATGATCAAGGTGTTGGAGTTGTGGAAAAAGATGAACATGAAGCCAAAGAAGAGCGATTTGAATCTGTTCAGGAGAAGAAAGAGATTTCATTTGATGAAATGCTAACTACGATCTTAAAACAGAAAAATTATCCAGGAGATGATCATGAACACGGAAATTCATTTGGAGATCAACAACAGGAGAACACACTTGATGATCATCTACCACCAAATGTAGCTGACAAAGAGGAAATGCCGAAGAGTACGGGTTTACTACCTGTGAAAAAATCCAACCATGAAAGTAATACGAACAGAAAAAGTCGCAAAAATGCCAAACAACATGAGAATGCACAGGCAAATCGGTCCGAATTACCGATGCCAAATGATTTCTGGATTCAGACATATTGGAACCAATTGCGTGATATCAATAAATACGTAGCACATTCAAACCGTCGATATAAGTAGAAAACACACTTTTTATGTAAATAAAAAAAAGCATTTATTCAATAAAATTATGCAAACATTTTTAACAGGGGCTTTGTAGATTGAAACACAAGCACACTAGCACCGCAGTTGGCCCTACAATATCATATACGGCAAGCTGCAGAACTGCTGCAGCTGATTTTTAATATTAACAAAATATAGAAACAATCTTTATTGTCCAAAAAATTACTCCGTCAATCAACTGTGAAAATCATCAAATTCTTTGGCTGAACCGTTGCAGCATTTGGCGAGTCGTCGCCGCAAATCCTCCAGACAGAGTTCAAGGTCTTCGGTGATTTCTTTGATTTTCACCCGAATATCTTCCCTGGCCAATTGATAGCACATCGCGACCAAACCCATGCCAAACAGAATATACACGAAATTGATGATGAGTTTTGTGTGATTTTCACTCTGTGTATCGGTGTTTGTGAATCGGAAAAACGGTATGGTTTCATTCGTCGATGTTCCAGGCACAAAATCACCGATGCCAATTTTACATAAACTCGTGACGGCAAAGTAAACGGCATTTTTAAAGTCCCATCGCTCTAAACACGAAAACATGGCCGAGCCGAGTAAAATGTAGAAAAACATGACCCACAAACAAGCGGACGATGGTACAATGATTTTTTTGCGATTTTGTGTCGTTGCATCGGGATCTTGACTGCATTCGTGCAATTTGCGGTAGAGCCATCGAAATGTTTTCGCCAACACTTTGCCCATATTCAAAAAGTATAAAATATATAATGGAATTCCGAATGTTGCATAAATTATGGTCGTTGCTTTGCCCCATTCGGTGCGTGGCGTCAAATTTCCATAGCCAATCATCGAAAATACGGACAGACAAAACATTAGCGCCGCCGGAAATGACCAAATCTGTTTGAGTGTACGGCCATCATAGCCTTTCTTTATCATGGTCACCAGATAATTTTGATAGTCCAACAGTTTAATGTTCATTTGATTTTGCCAGAGGGTTTCATTCACATCGGCTGCATTATTTTTCAATGCTAACGCATACAATTCACTTGCGTATTTATCACGCATTTGTTTCACCTCGTCCACATATGTGATGTTTGCTTGTTTTGCATCCGTTTCGATTGAGATAAAACTTGCAGCGCCGACCAGTGCATAAGCCACAATTAATCCACCAACACCAACTTGTGTACACATAAATGCAATGGTTTTGCGACAAAAATCTTTACATTTCTCTTTTCGATTAACACTTCGCAGCGATGACAGTGAACCATTGCTTCGAACGGACGAAAATCGATTTTGACGATTCATTTTTTCTTCTGCACAATTCTTATCAATTTTCTAATTCATTCAAGAATCCAGAATCCCCTTTTTTGTGCTATTGAATATGAACATGTCAAAGATAAACTAATATTCGTGTGTTGCGAAACATGGCACTGCGTTTCTATTCCCTATACTGACTATTCGGTTATTCGGTTGTTTTAACTCATCATTTCGGTTACGCTAAATTTAGACTATTCCGACGCAAACGTGGAATTCAGATAAAAATAACATGAGTATGGCCCAGTAGTTGCAATACAGTGTCCGTGTGCGCGCGTGTGTGTGTGTGTGTATGCGTTGTTTTCATTTTCCAATGCTATTCAACTCGTCGTCTTCGTCACTAGTTTGTGTTGTTGTTGGTGGTTGTTGGAAAAAGGAAACCGAAAACCAATCAAAACAACCAATAACATCAAAGAAAACATCACCACCAACTAGTTTATATATTCAACAAAAATGTTTATTATCGAACGAAACAATAACATAAAGTCTATTCTAATATTTTCAAAATATGTGTGTTTGTGTTTTCTCTGTTTCTCAGTTTCTCAGAAGATAAAACAAGAAGAAATTTTGTATTTGTAACCCATACGATTCCATTTTTGATATATATCAATTAATCATCCCATTCCTCGTTGTCGGATGTGTCTTCCTCTTCGTCGGATGACCTAAGCACACGGCTTCGTTCTTGCAGTGCTCGTCGAAGTGCATCGGCCAATGCATCCGTGCCACGATTACATGAATCACGTTGTCCACTTTGCTCGACTGGCTTCAGTTCGATACCTTGCCGAATTTCGGAAAGTAATTCACTACGAGCATCACCACTGCCACTGCCGGTGCTCAATGCGGCCGGATCAACCTTGCGAAGGGTCGTTCCCTTTCGAATACTATCCATAAGAGCACCTCGTGGATCTGGTGCTGCTGGAACTGAAATGAAAGATTTTTTTTCGTGACGTTAGGGAGATTGCAACACAATGTGATTCTGAGACAGAACACAAATAAAAGTAGGTCAAGTACCCGAAAGTGGTGCCGGTGTCGAAACCGGATTTTGATTAGCTAATGATGGCAATGTATTCAATGGCGGCGGCGGTGGTGGAGGTGGTGGAGCTGGAATGTGTACAGTTGTAGCTGCTTGCGATTGCTGCGAAATTGCAAATAAAGAGCATGTTAAAAGAAAGAATTTGCAAAGAAATAAAAAAAAAATATATCAGCAATTTTAAGCGTTTAACGATTCAAAAATCTCGAGAAATTGTTCTAACGATAAAATTTCAAAGGTTCAAAGTTGGTGCAATCTGAGTTCGAATTAAAGTGATTTGATTTTGAAATGAGCGTCCAAAAATTGAGCGTCTTTATCTGAAAAGATCGTCTTTTGTCGTGGTAAAACTCGTTGTTTGTTGTGTTTCAATAAAACCCTAGTTTCTTGACAGTTACCTGAATTTGTGGATCCGAAATTGGTGGAGGTCGACCTGGTGGACCCGTTCTGGATTGTTTTGGCAACTGAGCGGGTGGCTTTGACACATTCGCACTTGGCGGTGGCGGCGGTGCAATTCGCTGTGTTGGATTCTACGGAAAATAAGGTTGAATTTTGCTATCAGCGAAGAATTGACATAAATCGTATTGGACAAATTTCCTGACAATAATCATGCCTATTCTTGACAAATAGTCGTTTCCTTATTTTCAAAGAGATAAGAATCTTTTTCATGTTTTCATTCTTCAAACGCCTCTTCCTCTATTCAATGTCTTTCTCTCACTTTTTCTTCATTTCACTGATACGGATTTAGAGGCGGAAGTTTGAAATGTATTTCAAATCACTTACATTGCGTGTTGGAACTGGCGGTGGTGATTGTTGTGTTTCCAATTTAACCGAGTCCAGCACATTGTGGCTCTGAATAAAATCATAGATATAAGCGCGAGTATCGCGATCATTCAATTGTTGTTCGGACACACCAGCCTTTTTCAAAAACGTATCCAAATTGTTCACATCTTCGTTGTTCAATTCAAAATGTTTGCTATCATTCCATCCGACGTGTGCTAAGTGCTTAAAATTCGTTGGTTGTGAAATGTCTGCTTTCGTTAATTTACGATTTGGTCTCTTTTTGTCACGTATGCCAATAGTCGATTGCGACATTTGTGAAAATGGTGTCATTCCTATTCAAAATGCACAGATATAAATCAATTGTTATTCAATTTAAATGAATAAAATGCCTACTATTCAAACAAAAAAAAAACAAATAAATAAAAACCAGCATAAAATAATACCTGTGGAATTTTGATTGCGTAGAACAACACCTGAATCATAGCCAGTGTCTTGGCTGCCATCGATTTTGGTTGGTGAAAATTTTCGGCTGCGTCGTTTCTTCGAGCGATTGGCAATAGTTGCGGTGACAGTTCGATAGAAAATATTTGCTTCAGCGTCTGATGCAAAACTCAAGGCTACCATGCAATCCTATTAACACAGCACCGTAAACATACACAGATACAAAGACATATATATATATATTGATAGTGTTACATGTTCCATTTACAATCCAAATATGGCAATCGAATAGACTTACTTGTCCTTCAAAGTTGATTAGAAATTCGCGTGGTTTGCCAACGACAATAGTGTCATACATTTCTTCTTCCCAGACCAGCTCATGTTTAGCCATACAATACACACGAATGAAATACGATCGCTTCGAACTGTCTCGTACAAAGCAAGCAATTCCACTCAAGCGTTTGCTCCAGGCTGAATGGGCTGGGGCCTCTGTTGTAAACAATTGCACCACTGCCGTGCTCATCGCCTTTTATTTTTAAATTAAGACAGAGATAAAGAGAAACAAAGGGAAATAAAAACATATAAATAAAGATGGAGTTTTTATATTTGGTCACAAATACGATGCTACATACCTGACAACGACGACCCAATAAGGAAAACACCAAATCGTTTTCATCTTGAGAAAGTAGTGTGCTCGGTTTGTTCATACGTTGTTTTTCATTTGGTTGTTTCATTTTGGCACAATAAACGAAGAAAAATGAATTTTCTTCGACCTAAAATTATCTCGTTGTTGCTTCTTTCGTACACAAAATTCGACGATCTGTTTCGTCGCACACTTTCACACACAAAACTTTCGATTGGAAACTAATTTATTGTCACCTTTCTCGTTTTGAGTCACACTTTGTCGTTTGTTTTTTGTTTCTCTCCCTATTCACAATCGAATGGAATGAATCACAAGACGAAGACAACGACAACGAGACAGACGGAAAAAATAATAATTGATTGATTGATATATCAGTTCACTGTGGTCTTGTTGATGTCATTCATTCCCATTTATTTTCTCCATACCACCTCATTCGTATTGTCTGTCGTTTTGTCTTTTCATCCAAACAGTGGGAGTTTTCAATGTGAAAGTATTTGTTAGATGTTAAATCGTTTATTCACACGCAAGAGGGCATCACTTTCTTTGTCGTACGATGCACAAATACTTATTTGTCCAACCCTTTGCAGGGAGATATTTTAAAATGTAAACATACACACAATTCAGTTACATACTAATCATATTTTATTGAACTTTCCTGAATCGATTCGAAATTGGTAAAAATTGAAATGCATTTTTTTGCGTGTGTCTTATCCGGATGATGTGTGTGTGTGTGTGATTGATTAATCGGCCCAATCATCGCTATCGGTGGAGGATTCATCATCTTCCGAATCACTAATCGTCATCACACCAACTCGTTTTACCAACGCATCTGCCAATTCATTACACCGTGTGTTTATGGCCACTTTTTTCTTTACTGGTGAACTAGAATCCGTGGATTCTTTTTCCACTTTACGAAGTGAATTATTTCCTTCTCGAAATCCGCGAATTTTCTCCATAAGCAATGAGTGATGATCAACAACTGGAGCTGAAACATGTTAGTGATTTGTCAGAATTTGATTAGTTCAGATGAATCAAACGTCAAATATTTTTTTTTTTAGTAAATAGTTGTTCAAAATGTTACCACGAGCATTTAATGCGGGCGATCTCGAATTTTGATTAGCACTTGATGCGCTGGATTCATCTGATGGTAGTGGCGGTGGTGGTGGTAGTGGCGGCGGCGGTGGTGGAGGAGGTAAAGGTAAATTTTGTATTGATGGCACTGCCGGCGCACGGGGAAGTGCACTTCGATTCAGAGTACTTCTTGGAGAATTCATCGGACTCGGTTTCGGCTTTGGTGGTAATGGTGGAGTTCTCTGGATTGAAATTACGTTTAATTACATCGAATTCGATTGAATAGTTCAATTCTAAGATATAAAATTTACCACTTGTCCAATGTACGTATTATTTTTGGGACGTTCATCAACTTTTTTTGTATCCGAATCGAATCGACGAGTACCATCCATTCCAACATGAGCCACATGCTGAAAATTTGTTGGCGCCGAAATATCAGCTTTCGTTAATTTAGGTTTTCCATCCGATTTTTTAGATTTTCTGACTTTTTTCGTCTTGGGCGTTTCATTTGGCGTTCCTGTTCAACAAACGGACATGAGTCACATGATGCAGTAATAATAAAAGTTAGAATTGCATGTGATAATGTGTAATGTATACTTTAAATGATTAAGTCTATACATTCACTGATAAATTGCTCATTTTTGTGAAAATTGAATTGTTCGAAATTGAAAACATGTGAAAAAAAATAGAAAATTTACCTTGTTGTCCATTCAAAAGAGCATTTTCATTGGCTGACGCACGCTTTTTCGATTGCCGTTGACGATTCGTAATCGTTTCAACCATGGTAGTATGGAATAGCTTAGCCTCTTCTTCCGAAGCAAAACTCATACCAATCATGCAATTCTAATGAAATAAAAATTGATCTTTAAATTGCTTGATCAACAAATTGACCATATTCATCAAGAAAAATTTGGTTTCTAATGATTCGAACTTGTTTCGTCTCATTAAAAATATTCATAAATTTTGTTCAAGTTCAAGAATTTGATAAATATTCGAATTTTCTTTGTATATTCATCTTTCGTTACCTCGCCAGCAAAACTGACTAAAAATTCGCGCGGTTTCTCGACAACGGTCCACGTATGCAATTGTTCCTCCCAATAGAGTTCTTGTCTCGCCAAACAGTATACCCGAATAAAATATGATCTTTTGGCACTGTCTCGAACGAAGCAAACAACTCCAGTGATGCGTTTGGTCCACACCAAATGAGCTGGTGGTCGTGTAGTGAACAGTTGCATCACAGCTGTGCACATTGTCTATTTGAAATATGAATTTGACGTAATTTTATGGATTTTTTCTCAATTTGTTGTTCCTTTTTTTATTTTTCTGTAGAATATACCTGACAACGGTTGCCCAGAAAATCAAATACCATAGCATTTTCCTCTTCAGTGAGTAATAAACTGGGTTGATTAAATCGTGGTGGTCCCATTATGTTCAATTAAATGAGAAAAAAAAACCTGAAGCGAATCTAACGAGAAAAAAATTCCGTTTACAATATGCAACACTTGATCTCCGAATAGTTTATCCATAATTTTCTTGGTTAAAGAAATAAGAATAAAGTTCGCATATGGTTAGTTATCTTGGAATGAATCATTCGTCTGATATATTCATTTGAATCATACATATCCGAAGTGTTGATAATTTTATCAGAAATACTGAAGTCAATGAATTTTTGCGTAAATTGTGAATCAGTCACGAGATGGCATCACCGGTTTCGTTCAATCCATATGAATTTTGATTTTGTTTTTGTCACATTGTTTCTAACCTAAGCAAAAAAAGAAAAAAAGGCAGAACGAAAGAAAAAACATCTGTGTCGCTGCCGGCAATGTTACCGCGACTTTCATATTTATTCACGCAAACGCGATGCATTTCGAATAATACGATATTTGCGCTATCATCAGGTATCAATCTCGAAATTCTATTTGGAAATGTTCACACGTCTGACTGATTATTACCAATATGTGTATTTAAGGATATGGCAAGTGTGGTGTTGCGGTTATTCGAGTGTCTGGTCCAAAAACGAAAACAGCAATTACACTCTTGACAAAAGCTGAACCAAAATCGAAGGAATTACAACCAAGATATGCATCGTTGCGTAAATTATGGCATCCAAAAACGAATGATTTGATTGATAAAGGGTTGGTGCTATGGTTTCCTGCCCCAAATAGTTTCACCGGTGAAGATTGTTGTGAATTTCAAGTGCACGGCAGTACGGCAGTTGTGTCAACCATATGCGATACATTGAATGGTATCGATGGATTTCGGCCGGCGTTGGCCGGTGAATTTGCGAAGCGGGCATTTCGTTCGAATAAACTTGATTTGATCGAAATCGAAGGTTTGGCCGATCTCATACACGCCGAAACGGATATTCAACGAAAACAAGCACTGTTACAGGCCGACGGTGTATTATCCAAAGTGTATGCGGAATGGAGAAAGACAATGTTACGAGCGTTGGCTTGTTTTGAGGCGTACATTGATTTTGCCGAAGATGAAAATATTGAACCCGAGACAATTGATCACGTTCAACGCGATGTTGATAAATTGATTCGCGATATGAATCGATTTTTGAACGACAGCCGAAAGGGTGAGATGCGACGGAATGGTGTAAAAACGGCCATTCTAGGCGAACCAAATGTCGGCAAAAGCAGTTTTATGAATCACATTTGTCAAAAGCCCATTTCAATTGTTGCCAGCATTGAGGGCACAACGAGAGACATCGTTGAATCATCGTTTAACATTGCTGGTTTTCCCGTTGTTATCGCTGATACGGCGGGACTACGTAATCACACTATTGATCCAATCGAAAAAGAAGGAATACATCGGGCCAAGCAGTATGCAGCTGAAGCAGATTTAATCATTCTCTTAGTCGAAGTAAGCACATTGTTAGCGGCCAAAATGAATGTCGATGCATTCAAACGGATGCATTTGAATAAGATGGGCATTACGGATGATAATGAAATTCTACAAAAAGAAATCATTGTTATTGCAAACAAATGTGATTTAGTTGAAAATGTGCCGGCGAGAGACGATACGGATATTGTTTACGTTTCGTGCACGCAAAACAAAGGGATCGATTGTGCACTGGAGAAAATTGAACAAACACTACGAAAGCTGACTGATTACAATCCAACTGGACTGGCATATGTGCCGCCAAACGAAAGACATCGCCAATTTGTGGTGAAAAGTCTACAGCATCTGGGGGATTTCAAGTCATTCTCCGGTTCGGATGGCTTTGACTTCTCCATAGCGGCCGTTTATTTAAGAGAATCCTTGCATCAACTGGAAAGTATATCGGGTCGAACCATTGACAATGAAGAAATGTATGATTTTATCTTTCGACAATTTTGTATTGGGAAATAAAAGAAGAAAACACCATGTGTGTAATGTATGTAAGCCAAAATGTGTTTTTTTTTATCATTCTTATTTCATGGCTCTCATTCTCTTGGTTTATCATTTACAAATAAATATTTTTCTTGTGTTAGGTTTTTTTTGTTTAGTTTTGTTTTTAATGTTGCCTGTAATAATTCACTTTTGGATTTTTGTATTTTATTAGAGACTTCAATATGGTGCATATCGGTATGTTGGTGATTGTCCACGAGGACGGCGATCAAATGAATCGAATGAATCGCGTGGCGGTCGACGATCGTCGAATGAATCACGGCTGAAATCTTCATAGTTGCTGTAAAATGAAGAGACGAAACAAGGTTAAAAAATTGTGAAAACAAAAGGCTAGAATATCGATCTGTCTTTTATCAACATTGCTATGTAAAGAATGGACTAGTTATCATCTTTTTAGTGAGCATTTATTTTGAACACAAACCTGAATCTGCCCAATCCATTGCTGGATCGAGGTGGTGTTCGCCTGCTGAACATTGAATCGTATCCAGAGCCTCCACGCATTGAATTGCTTCCGCTCAGCCCGCGCAAACCACCTCCCAATGTTGGTGGCATTGGCATTGGATCACGTCTGCCCATTGGAATTCCACCTGTTTCAATTATTTACATCAATTCATTAGAAGAATATTTTGAATTTTTGGTGTATTTTCATAGAATCGTATTCAATTTTAATGGAAACTGAATGACAATAAGGCTTAGGCAACTAACTCTACATATTCAACTCTTTTTTTTTCTTGAAATTCTCCATTTTGATCTCAATTTGTCCATTGGAATTTTTCCAATCTCCGGCTCAAAATGTCCGTAATAACGAGCATGCATACAAAGTTTCCCTGAAAAACGTTAGCCAAACCGAAAACTAGCCCCTTACCTCGCATTCCACTGTTGCCCATTCCCGAGTATCGTCTGTCGAATAAGTCTCTGCTATCATCGTATCTGTCATAGTAATCGTAGTCCTGTGCAGAAATAAAAACCAGATGGCTTAAGTTACAAACGTTCCATTTTGAAGCACATAAAATATTTTTGATGGAATTTGAAGTGAATTCCCGCAAAAGCGAAGTCAAAAACACATATATAGGTATTTCGTTTGTTGTAGAAGCACCGATAATCGTGATTATATTTTTAAAGAGTATAATTAATTGTCGCGGATGAATTTTGAATATGTGTATGTGTGTTTTCTCATATTTTTCCTTGATCTTTTTATATACCGTAAAATTTGCACAGATACACGATAGAATATACAAACGCGTTCAACAACAACAGAGATATAATACACAGATTTAAATTTTAAAAAAAAAGAGATGAATAAAGCGACGCGCCAAAAAAAAACAACAACAAATTGTGTGACAACAAAAAAAAAAATAAAAAAAAAATAGGTAGAGTAATAAGTCGTGTAAAAGTTAGGTTTACCCGAAAGCGATCATGTAAAAAGGGTGGTGGTGGTGGCGGAGGATACGGATCACGCGAATGGCCCGAATACCGGTCACGAAAACTGCTGCCGCCGCCGCCGCCGCCGCGATCTGAAAACATTAACCGTGGGCATTCTTTAGACCAATGACCGGAACGACCGCATCGATAGCACTGTTCGGGATCGCCCATGCCCGGTTTCGGTCGTACGCGACTGGTTGATACTTGAACCTTAAGCGGTTGGCCATCGACCATTTTTCCATTTAGTTCGCGAATCACTTCGTTCACCTCGCCAACGCAATCTAAATGCACAAAGCCATAATTTCGAACGATATCACACTCGACGACCGTGCCGTATTGTGTGAATAGTTCACGAACTTCGGGCGCTCGCATTTTATCCGTTAAATTGCCGACAAATATTTTTGTGGTCGGTGTATTTGGTGCGCGCCGGCTTTTAGCCGCCTCAACTTTTATTGGATTGCCATTTACAACGTAACCATTTAAGTTTTGTATCGCATCGCGACCCTGTTGCTCATTTTCCATATGTACGAATCCATAATTTTTTACAACATCACATTCCACGACAGTTCCATACTTTTCGAATAGTGGCCGTAAATCTGCCGGCGACGTTTTCTCTTCGATATTACCGATGAATAGCTTAAACGTTCCAGTACCCGGCATTCTGGTATTTTTGTTTTGCGTTTTGTTCGGGACTCGACTGCGACTTTCCCTTTCTCTCTGTGTGTCTGTCTGTTCTGATTATTTCCCCGGAAATTATCCGCGTTAAAATTTAAACCGTTGTACGCACTTTTTCGATCGGTATTCGTTTCGGTTCGGTTTTTGAGTTTGATTTTTTGTTTGTTTTGGTTTAGAGATTAGATGGTAATCGATTTCCGAACGGTTTCTGGTGACCCGGACGCGTGAACTCGGATTTTTGTTTTTGTTTTTTTTTCGTTTTGCGTTTGTGTGTATTTTTTTCGTTTTGTTTTTTTTTTTTTTAATTCGGTTCGGTTTTTATAAATCTGCACGAAATAAATGGACGCATTGGTTTTTTGTTTGACTATAAAAATGCAGCAACTTTGAAAATTGTGTAAAATTAAAAAAAAAACAATGGTTTTGAACAATTACTTGTTGGTCAGAAATTGGTCAGGAAAAAAATGTACAAAAAAATTGCGTTGTAATGCACCACACACTGAAAACTGTTTCTTCTTCTTCTTTTTCTTTTTGACAAATGCCAACACATTCGATGTTGACCGGACCGAATTGATATCAATTGATATAATTATGGACGAATGGAAACAATCCACCCCCTCAGTAAAAGAGAAAAAAAAATCCCAATTTACTTTCTGTTTGATATGAAATGAAGAAGAAAAAAACCATCAAAATTCCACCATTCACTTTCGGTTCGCGTTTCGAAAGGATTATTCAAATCGGAATTTTCATTTTTTTGCGAATTGCAAAATGGCGGTGCCGATGAATACACTCTGAGTGAGTGTAGACACGTCGATCGTATTCAGTTGCTTTATGAATTATACATTTTTTTCAATCAAATTTCCTCACACTGCCAAAACGGACTAATTCAATACACTGCTCAATCAATATGGCCTTAGGTTACTTACAGTTCAATGACAAAAAAATATATGCAACAATATTGATGCTCAATTCCAAAGTGATAATATTAATCGACGACAACAATGACGACGATGATGACAAAACGCAAAAGAAGAATTTTTTTTTGTATTAAGTATGGTCTGTAACCAAACTTTTAATGACGCCGGAGTAATGTTCCTGCGAGAAGCAGTAAAAGTATTTTTTTTTTTGCCTCCAAGTGTTCCGTTGCCGTCGCTGCTGCTGTTTCATCTCTTGCTTAATCAGACAAATGACGGATTCGCATCGGACCTCACCACATTATCGAATGTGAAGTTTATGGTTCTGAATGAAAACGCTCGGGTTGCCATTGTTTGTATACAAACACAAGCGTAGCATTTTGAGCGCGCCAATTCCACTCCAACACCATCGATGCCAGAAAATGTGTTGCGTCTGGTAGAAAATCAATCATTTTGAATGATAATCCATGAATGTGTAAAATTTAGATAAAATTCCCAAATAAATCATAATCATTTCAATGGTTTTTTCGGAAATTTGTTGTTGCTGTACCATTGTGATGCCGATTGCCAGCGCCACCAAGCGATTACCCATACAAATGCACACACTTTCACGCATACACTCTCACACACAGCGAGTTCGATGTTGTTGTTTTTCAACTGCGTTGCAAAAGTGCTAAACTTGAACATATGCATATGACCGATTTTCGTCGTACATGATTGGTGTATTTCTCACATTTCTTGCATCATTTTCCCGCAGAAAATGTGCAAATCAATCATTAAAAAAAATCTAAAATGAAATCATAGAAAAAATGATGGACAAATTAAATTGAAAATTTAGTTTTGGATTGAAATATGCGCTGAATGATGTGTGTTATGCTGAATTCCATTTCCGAATGCATATCGGAGATTTGTTGCATCTTTTGCCTCTCCGCTGAACTCGGCACGCTCAATCTGTGCGTTTGTGTGCGTGCATATATATATATATACGTATCCTTTTTTTCTTTTGTAACGAGCGCTGAGTACGAAAGAGGTCGCGTCAGCGTCATACATCTATATATATTGCGCAATAATTGTTGATGCTTTTTTTGTTGTTGTTGGCGAACACAAACAATATTCATGTTCTGACAGTGTGTTTGGTTGTTTCGCAACACATACAAAAGCTGTGTTCCCACATTTAATTTACGTTTATATTTTCATTTTTTTTTTCTACTGTGCTTGCATATTAATGAGTAATGTTACAGTGACTGTGAATCAGAATTATTTGTGATTGAAAAACAGTTGGTTGGAGAAGAAAAAAAAGTGAAGCTGCAAGCAAAGGCGAACAGAAAGAAAAACGAGTAAAAATACAATCGGAAGAAAGAGCGAAGAAAAATTTATCCACAGTGCAAATATCGAACAGTTGTGAAATTCGACCATTCTGCGAGTTGTTGTTTTGGTTTCTTTTTTGTGGTTCTCGCTCTCCCTCTCTTTCTGTGTGTATGCTCTCTGTGTGTACATTGGAAATGTGAAACAATCGAAAATTGATGGTAAACAATTCATAGATGTCACCGTGTGTCGAACAGTATTAGCGCGTCAGATAGACGCAATAACACAGTTTTCCATGCAAAATGGCTACTGATTCAAAACTTTTATTAACAACACAACCCGAAAAACCAAATCATTACAGGTAAGTTTTTGCGTTTTAACGCTCAAATTTGTGCGCAATGCATACGCTGACCGATCCCAGTGCGGCTCATCTGAAAATTAATGGGTTTTCTTGCAGTTATTTAAAAGAATTTCGTGTGGAACAGTGCACAAGTTTTTTGCAACACAAATGTAATCAACACAGGCCATTCGTTTGCTTCAATTGGCATTTTATGAATCAGCGTCGTCGACGTCCTGTACGAAAAAGAGATGGTACATTTAATTACAGTGCGGATAATTATTGTGTAAAATATGATGAAACAACTGGCATTTGCCCGGATGGTGACGAGTGAGTGTTAAACCAAAACAAAAAAATGATTTCAGTGTTCTTTGCCAATTTATTTTGGAAATGTCGAGAGTTGAGTTTTTCATATCATTTCAATTTAGTGGGGAACCTGATACGTTCGTACCAAAAAAAATTACAAACAAGAACAAACACACACACACACACACGCACGTACATATTACACGTACATACATACAAAGATACATCCATATGAAAATACGCACGCACATACATACATGCATGTATATCTAGCATATACCAAAGTATAGCCAAAATGAACGAAAGACACCGAGAGACAGAGATACAGTGTGATATACACAAACAAAACATACACCAAAAATGAGAAGAACAGGCAAAAAAAACGAATAAACACAATGCGCGCGCGAGATGCCCAACGTTAATGCATTGCAAATAATACGCTCTCGATTGTGTATTGACAGTAGCGCGCGTTCGAATTTCCAAGACGTACAATAATAATATTATGTATATGTGTAGAGAGTGATGATTGTTGCTGTTGCTGCTGCTGCTTGTGCTGTTTTTGTTCAGCAGCGCGCACAATGTCGCCGATTGAAAAACGTTAAATGTTATTATGGTTTTATATAATTGTGCCGGTCGGTTGTATACCGGTTGTTTTCTGTTTATTTTTCTTTTCTTCGTTCTTTCTTTCTGTCTCTTCCTCTCCTGATTATATTCCATTTTTGTCAGCGATATCGTCATTTTTGCTTGCGCTCGTTTTTGACACTACTCACCGACTAATATGTGTGATGTCTCTTCGCGCGTGCATTGCCTATCTCTCTCTCTCTCCCTCTCTCTACCATCTTATTCGCTTCGATTCGATTACCGTTACACTCTTGATCGGAAAACCACTACGTAAATTGCCTACAAACGAACACGACAACGACGACGGCTAATCATGAATTATAGTGTGTCACTCTATAAATAGTGTGTGGCATCGATTTGTTTACATTTTTCTTGTTGTTGTTGCCGTCGTCGTCGTCGTCGTCGTGGTTGGTGTTTATAATGAAAATGTGCTGCATGCTCCTTAGCATATTCATCTTTGTTATGTGTGCTTGCCCTCTCTCATCGCTCTTACTCTCTTATTCTTTCTGTTCTCCGTTTTGTGTGTCGATTCGGCGGCATTTTCAGCTAAATCAGCTGATTTGTATTTATTTCAGTGTGCTATGTGTCTTTTTTTCCGTTGTTGTTGTTGTGTGGTCGAACGTATCAGAATCTCAACTTCAATAGTCAAAACACAATTAAGAAGACGAAAAACAATGCTCGCTGATTAATTTGATTATTCGAAATATTTTTATTAATCATTTCGTTTTCGTTTCGCTTTTATCACCGAAAATTTATTTCTTTTCTGCCACAGTTGCCCTTTTCTACATCGAACGGCTGGCGATACCGAACGCCGATATCATTTACGCTATTACAAAACGTGCATGTGTGTACATGACACGGATTCGCGTGGCTATTGTGTAAAAAATGGCCATCATTGTGCATTCGCGCACGGTGCTCATGATCAGCGCCCACCCGTATACGATATTAAGGAAATTGAAGCTGCTCAGAATGCCGAAGCAAATAGCGAAGCAACCAATGGCCCAAATGCACTCGACAAAGAGCGCAGTCTAATGAACGAAGATCCAAAATGGCAAGACACCAATTATGTGCTGGCCAATTATAAAACGGAACCATGCAAACGGCCACCGCGTCTATGCCGGCAGGGCTATGCTTGTCCACAATATCACAATAGCAAGGATAAACGACGAAGTCCACGTAAATTTAAATACCGATCGACACCATGTCCGAATGTGAAGCACAGCGAAGAATGGGGCGAACCAGCCAATTGTGAGGCGGGCGATAATTGTCAGTATTGTCATACACGTACCGAACAACAATTTCATCCAGAAATTTATAAATCAACCAAATGCAATGATGTACAACAGGCCGGTTATTGTCCGCGTAGTGTTTTCTGTGCATTTGCTCATGTTGAACGTAAGTTGAATTGGATTTGTTTAGATTTTTTGTCTGATTTTGAGTTTTTACGAAGGATATCAAATTGGTTTTCTTCAAATACTGCTTATTTTGCGTAATTTGGAAGACTTTTTCGATTATATTCCAATTTGGGAATTCCCGAATGAATTCATTCTCGAGAAAGAGAGAGAGAGAGAGAGAGAGAGAGAAGAAAAATGATAACGTTTCAATGAAACAGCTGACTAATGTATAATGCTTTGTGCCCCTTGTAGCATACGCAATAACCGAGGAAGCTCAACACAGAGATCTAGAAGGTCCATCGACAAGTATACCTCTTAGCGAAATGATTTCTAGTGCGCTCCCACCTGAGAAGAAGGATAAATTTGATCTAAACAATGTAAGACGCCATTCCCAATCGAAAATTTACTTTTAAATTTCAATCGGATCCGTTTTTCTCCTTCTTCTCCCCATTCCACTTCTTTCGCATTATTAGGTGTTACACAATGGTAGCAGTGAAAGTTGCGAATCAGCTAGTACTTCAAGCATAGGCTCTAACAATTCACACAATAACACAAGCAAAGCGCCCGGGGCGCAACTACAACATAAGAATAGTAGTTTATATCAAAATAGTTTATCGAATGGAGGCAAGGCAACATCGATAGTTTCTAATTCAACGATACCTAGTTTCCCTGATTTTACACCCGATCTTCGAAAACAGGTACGTAACCACCACCAACTCAGGTCCATTTCACACATACATAGACACAGATTTTCCATCAAAATCGAATTTAAGTTGAAAATTGATTTTGGTTTTAAATTTGTTTCAAAACAGCTTTTGGCCATAGAAAATGATCCACTAATTTGCCCACAGGAGAAGGAGCAGCGAAAAAGAATGTGCTTAACATTTAGTATGCAAAACATTGGGTCATTAGATAAATTTTGTAAGTATTTATTCAGAATCTAGGCACGATATTCAATCGGTTTTTTAAGTTAATTACACGTGTGCATGTGATTGAGGTTGACTGAATTTTTTGTCCTGCAGCAAATTTGGATGATTTATCAAGTTTAATACAAAGTTCGACGACACCGCTCAATATACCTGGATCTCAATTGTCAAACTCTCTTTCTGGTGAGTGTAATTCATTCAGGATAAAATTCAGTCTTCGAAAACCATATACAATCGGTTCTGTCTGTTTACATGTCTAAGAAGAAACGTACCTATTTTTATCGCCCCTAAATTTACTAATAACAAGAACAAAAATTTTTGTTTCATTTGCAGGTATTTTGCAAGGAACATCGGCTCCAGTAAATATTCCGGGTAGTTCACTAAATAATTTTAGTCCAAACAATCATTCGAATATGTTCAATGTGTCAGATCCATTCAGTCACCTGAGTGACCCAGCGCCAAAAATTAGCAACTCATTTGGTCATAACGATAGTAGCCTATTTTTCCAACCGCATTTGATATCGCCCAGTTTGGGTGACACACTATCAATGAGCCCAGATTTGAGGTAAGATTTTGAGAACAAAGAGAGAAAAAAAAACGTGACAATTTTGATTTGTATTTGAAAAATCAAGCCATTCACGTCTAATTTTAATAAACTATTAAAAAATGTCACAACCAAAACTAAACATCTTCGATTCTATTCTGTTCTGGGTTTACAGCCGTCTTTCGGAAATCAATCCAATCCGCGATGAGCTTTCAACTGGTTCAATAGGAAATAGCTTATTCGAAAATAGTTTGCATAATAAGCAATATTCGATGTCACCATCTCTATTGAACAATTCCAGCCTAAGTGATATTCGTTTGCGTGATGAATTTTCCAATCAATCGACCAAACACCTTCCGACACCATGGGAAGAGCAAATCGTACAGGTCTCTAAAGCGTGCGAGGCATGGAAATCAGAGGCTGACGAAAGCAATCGAAAGGTAAACCATTTAAATTGTCAACGCATTTTAATTTTATCGAATTGAATCAACACATTCCGTGTCTAGGGGCATTTCTCACGAAAAGAATAAATGAATTCTTATAAATTTTGAAAAATTTCTTCCGTTCGGTCCGATTCGATCAATTTTTATCTATTCGTGTAAATAAATGTTCATTTACACTGAACTTGTGTTCTGGAAGTGGGTTTTGGTGGATCTCAAGGATCGTTCAGAACTGCTCCCGGTTCTGGAAGTAGATCTTCAGGATGGGCCAGGGCATTGTCAAACCGGATCTGGTCCATCCTGAGGATCCACCAAAACTCACTTCCAGAATCGGGAGCAGTTCTGAACGATCCTTGAGATCCACTGAAACCTACTTCCAGAACACTTTTATTCAAGCAATATCGTCATTTCAGTACATTTTTTTACAATTTCAATAAAAAAGAAGAAATAATAGACATTTTTGCACATTTGCTCAAATTTTTTGTGTGAGAAATGCCCCTAGTTCCGTGTTGATTGCAAGAAATAAGAAGAAAACGGGTTTTATTCAATTTTAATATCCATTTATTTGATCCAATTGGACTTCAAGAGCAATTCATATTGGAATTATATAATTATTTAATTCACATTTAGTTTATAACACCTATAATTAAAATGATGCAATGGTTCACATTTTCTACAGGCCTCAGAAGCGAAACATCAGAGAGACGAAGCCCTGAATCATGTTCAATTGCTCACAGATAAGCTAGAACAAATTAGCAGCGGTCAAAATGGATCGGTAGCAATTCCAAAAGATCTGAGGGGTCTATCCATACAGAAATTAAAAACGTTGCAGGTGCGTTCAAATCAAAATCTAATCAAATCGCTTATGGATTGAAGGAAAACTCAAGTTTTGCTCTAAAAACATCTAAATTTGTTACAAAAATGTCAGTTTTTCGTAGAAAATATGATTTTTATTCAAATAAAATTCAATTCTTGCTCAAAAAGATTCAGTTTTTGCCCAAAAAGCTACAATTTTAGGTTGAAGAAATGTCAATTTTTCATTTTTCCGTCAATTTTGTTCTGAAAAATACGTTTTTTTTTTTCAAGTTGAACTAATCCCATATGAATTTATGTTCCATTCTATTCTCACAGACAAAACTGCGATCGGATTTAGAAGAGGTTGAAAAGGTATTATATTTGGAAACCGCGACAAAATGTATGAAATGCGAGGAGAACAACCGTTCGGTGACGCTACCCTGCAATCATTTCGTTTTGTGTGACATTTGTGCGAAGACAGTGCGCGAATGTCCGTATTGCCAAACATTAATCACTTCCTAAACAACTAAACAAATAACACACACAAAATCATACAAGAATTGATGTCAAAGAGAGAAAGCAAGCAAAAGAATCAGTGCAAAAACTAATGTGCAGAAAAGCAGAAGGGAAGCAGCCCAGCCAAGTACAGTAGTAATAGTTCAAAACGTGGACGAATTATTCAAACAAAAAAACAACAAAAAATATTCCTGATTATTAAAAAACAACAACAACAAATGATACAATTAACAATAAGCTAAGTAAGATGAAAATAGAAACACCGATGTTTAAAGAAAAAAAAAACAAAGCTACTCTATGATATATATAACAAAATAAGAAGAAAAAAAAGCAACATTAAAATACACACAGTCTACTTACATGTAGCCCAACGGTTAAAAGAAAAAGAAAAAAAACAGAAAGTGCGATACAGAAATGGGAGAAAAATTTAAAGAAAAATGCATAAATTTATATACATATACACAGCAAGAAGACAAAAATTATCAACAAATCTATCTAAAAAAAAGAAATTATTTTGAAATGAAAACAAAAAAACGGCCCCCCCCCCCAAAAAAAAAATAAAACAAAACTGACCGATAGAAAACAATAATCATTCGGTGAGACACATGTTAAACGAAAAACAAAAATGTACATCAAAACAGAGAATATGAAGAAAAGTTATTTGCCGCTTAGGTCATACTCTCACTTCAAGAGACAAAAAAATGAATTTCCCCCTCCCCCTCCCTTTGAGACACAGACATATTTATACATGTGTTCAAGATGACACGAAGAGAGATAGAACGACCGATACACAGAACAGTTACATAGTAAAAAAAAAATAGAATAAGATTATGAAGAATGGAAAAGAAGAAGAAGAAGAAAAAACCAATGGAATGAAAACAAAGTTTTGAAAAAAAAAATCAATATTTTTTAAATGATATATACATAATATAAATATTATACAATGTATTTAGAATAACCTAGTTCTTTTTTCAATTAATATTACAAAAAATGGAGGAAAAAAACAACAGATAATTTATATGATCCAAGCTATGTCCCCCCTCCCTCACACACAAACACACACACAACCCTCAATGATAATGATATCGTTGTTAATAGTGATTTCTTTATGTGACTTTCGTTACAGCGAAATTGAATGGAAGAAGATGTCAAAGAAACAGAAGATTTTTTTCCATGATTGGATCAATGACAATTTTTTTTTTGCATAAAAATAATTTAATTTTAGTCGTATCTTATGGCTTTGACGAATTGATTCTTCTATATTCATAAACGAACTTGAAATGGCTTTAACTTTCACTTTGACAACACATACGACGTCAAAATCGTAGGATGCGCGCAAAGTATCGACCGTGTATTTTTTTTTGTTCTGTTTTTGCAGAATCCCACCTAGAACTTAGAACGCAAAACCATTCTATTTAAGGGTTTACATTCATTTTTTTTTTTGGCAACACACCAAATTCAAATTCATACGAAAAGAAGTTAAGTTCATCATTTCAGTTTTAGTACATGACATTCTGTTATTTTTGATATTTTGTATAGAGATTTTGAGACTATGACGTCGTGTGTGGAAAGTGATGCAAAATTTTGTTCAATAAAAAGAACAGAGAAAACAGGAAATACACCAAAAACTATTAGGGAGAGAAAAACAATAAAGAAATCTTGCAACATGACCGTTTCTTTCGGTTGAAATTTTTTTTTATCGGTTGCCATATTTGTGATGGCGTTTAAATCAAAAGAACTCTTTTTTTTTAGTTTGGATCAAATCATTTTGTCCTTTGTTCAATCCCATTTTATTATTTCGTTTCTTGCATAATTCAATAATTTCAATTCAATGTGTGCATTTTTTGTACCAATCAACCACCACCAACAAACCCCATCACGACTTTTGCATTTCAGTTTTATTTTTCGGTTTTCTTGTTTCATTAATTGTACACAACAGAGGCGAACACCAGTGTCTGTTTCATTTGATGAAAGACAAGGAGGTAGAAGTAGAAGAAAAAGAAAAGAAATTATTGCATTTCAACTGTCATTGGTGTCCGTCTTTGCCATTATTAGAACGAACGTAAAAAAATACGAATTGAAGTAATTTACTTTAATAATGATTTATTTTAACAAATAAAAAAAAACATGATTTATGCGATTCATTTTGTTCATTATTTATTTCCCTCGTTATTTTGTTTTTAAATTTTTCATTCATTTAAATTTGACATTTTTACTACAATAAATTTCGTATTTTCAAAATTTAGCACAATTTCAAATTAATTTTCGAAAATTAGAATTTGATCCAACTTCTTATTTGAATTTATTTTGAGAACATTTCCTAAATTCCAATCAAATCCATTGCAAAATGTGACCAACCAAATTGAAGCGTTATTTATTTACCTAATTGAAGCATTGGCAAAAGGATAACGATGAACAAATGTCCTAATGTGTGAAATACCCATTAGCATTCTAATCAATTCGAATTTGCACTTGTTAGTCCAAAAGAAATTATGATTATCTCCCCTCCATTCCCGTTGGAATCCTAATCGATGTCCATTTAATCAGATCGTTTTCACAACTAGACCATTGTAATGTGAGAAGGTGATATGTGAAAAAACCCCATCGAACAACGTCTAAGCCATGAGCAATTTTTTTTCAATTTAGTTTTGTTTGTTGAAATAGCATCTTGATGGAGCGAAAAAAGATTTTATATATTACAAAGTGTTTAAGCATACAAATGAGTGTGGTAATGGAAAAAAATTTAAAAAATTGAGTGATGAAAATTTAACGAAAAAAAAATTTAATAAAAATTTGAACAAAAAAACAGCAATTTGATAATTTTGATAGGTGGTTAGGACTGGTGGAAATATTTTTTTTGCGCTAAAACTATGAACATATTGATGGTTGAAAGAGGACATTTTCGAAAATAACGTGTAATTACACACAGGTTGATTATTTGTTGACTGAATCCAAATATTTTTGATTTAAAATGAAAATTTCGATTTTAAGTTCGAAATTCACAAAATTCAAATCCAAAAATGATTTTAAAAAATGATTTTCAAGGATCAATTTATTCAAATTGAATAATTACACAAATTTGCCATGGAAATGTCTGAAATAGAACCAAAAAAAAAATTAATAACTAAAAAACTTGCCAATTCAAACCCCGAAGAAAGAAGTTGGACAATTCTCGTCCAAGTTATTCAGAAAATTGGATCAGAAAATGTATAACGATTTTAAAATTTTACAAAGAAATTAACGAACAATCGCCATATCAAACGACTAACGGGAAAAAATGACGAAATCGATAGGAAAGCAGGATAGATGAGAAGAATTGCCAAATTAAAATAAAATTTGAAAATCTTGTTTTCCAATTTTGAAATAAACACACCATCAAGCATACAAGAATGGGCTTGACAACAACTGTAACAATCAAAATGTCCATAGTTTTCAATGAATATTTTCACTTTAGTTCAAAGCCCATAGACGATCGTAAGATCGATTGATTTGGCCGCCTTGGTAATGGTCATAACAAATTATGACATAAGAGAATGGTCATAATTGAGCTATGAACAACAGCCAAGTTCGTCAAATCACTCGATATTTTCGTGAGCGAGTTATTTGAAAAGAATTTTATATTTGGAAAATTAAGAGTTTTTTTTTGATGAGTTAAAGAGATATAAATACCCATGCCAACCAAAAAACCAAACAAAAAGGAGCAAAAAAAATTGAAATAAATCAGAAATGAAATAAATTGTATTCGAGGAAAACTACTGAGAAAAAAAAATCAAATAAAACTCAAAATAAAAAAGTAAACACATTTAGGCATTAGAATGTGATTCCGAATATGTATAAAAATCCCAATTTATTTTTATAAATTTTGTCTAAAATGATCTTTTTTCTATTGAACATAATCTAAAAAAAAACCGTTTGAGTGATTTTTCTTTTGTTTTAGGATTGGACGAATAAATTTTAGCAACCAAAAAAAAACAACAAAATGCAAGAAGCTATGAGAGCAGAAAAAAGAAACAAATTCGAATTTCAACAACTGAACAGAGAAATAATTATTATGAAAAAAAAAAATGTTTCAGGTTTATCAACGCAAGCAAACAAAATGCAGTTATTTATACTTAAAAAAAAAGAATGCAATTTCTCATTGAAAAAACAAAGTAAATAAAAATATCAAGTAGATCTCTTTGTCTTATGTGTTGCAGTATTCAATGGCCATAAAATCATTATCGTGAATATTGAAGCTTCCGATAATGGCCTAAAATGTATTTTTTTTCTTCTCAAAAATTTCAACTTTTTTTTCGCCCACAAATGAACCAAAAACAACACAAAAAACAGCAATCCCTTCTCCTTGTCCCAAGAAAAGTCTCCTTGTGACCACCTCAAATAGATCTCTGTCTGTTACGATTCTATATTCTCATACATTTGAAGAAGAAAAAAATGTTTTAATTGTAACTTTATTGGATGTGCATAAAAAATTGTCGTAGTTAAAAAAAAAAAGATATCCCCTGTGTATGATCCTACTTCTTATTGATACGTGTTCAAGCGTTCGGGCTGATTATTAGATTTATTGGTCTTATATGTGTGAACAGATCAGAACCCTATCTAAAATTTTCCGTTTTCTTCGTTCGAACGAAATCGTTCAAATTGGCAATAAATTAATATAATGATCATCATCAACCATAAAAAACATATTCGAATAACAAAAGGTCAATTTTCTTTTCATTTCCCTTTCTACAACACTCTGTACTCTGACAAATTTCCATTCTCTTTATTTGTAAACATTTTCCATATTTTGGACAATTTTCCTCACGTTTTGTGATGAATTTCCATTAAAAATCGTTCTACAACCCGATTTTCATTTATTGAGAGAGAAAAAAAAGTACGAGAGAGAAGAATAAAAATTGTCATATAAATAGATTTGATAAGAACATTAACGAAACTACATTGAATATTGATGATACAAGAAGAAAAAAAAAACAGAAAGAAAAAAATATTGTGAATAAAAGTAAAGAAAAAAAAGAGCAAGATGAAAAGAAGAGAATAGAAAGGAATGAAAAATAATTGAAAATAGCGTTTATTTTTAAATTCTTTATATAAAGAGTAAAACACAAATTGAAATGCAAATATAATATTTTCTTTTTTATAGTTATTAAAAATGAACAAAAGAATGTGTTGCAAAAGAGAGTAGGGCGAAAGCGTGAGCAGAAGCATGCATTGACAAAAGATGTAGAGGAACGGTGGAAAAAAAATAGTTATTTACCAAGCGATCATGAATTTGACATAGTTTTTTTTTTAATGTAAAGCAAAACAACATAGAAAAGAAAGCAGAAAACAACAAATAAATTCAACGCAAAAACGTAGTGTGCAAATTGACCATAGAAATTTAGATATTTATTACGCAATTTTACGTGAGAGTTGTAGATTGATACACCATATACATAAAAACACATAGGTGCGCCTCGGTGCGTCGATCATCATTTGTTTTTTTTTTAGACAGCTGTGTGTCTGATTTTAAAGCCCAACACCGATATCATATTTGATGCGTGCAA